TTTGTTACGGTCTGTCAGAGTATTTTAACTTTTTTTTATTTTTTAGAAAATAATAACAGTAACATGTATGACCATAAATAATATAAGGTTGCGTGAGGTCAGCGTGGTTGCACTTCTCTTAGTATGTCAAGGAAAGGTAGTAGACCGAGGTACCAAAAATCTCGGTCCAGTATAGGAAGAGTGGGATAGTAAGGGTGTGGGAGGATTGGGTAGGGTGGTGGATTTTGGCAGTATCTTGGTCGTTGGATACCATACTGTTTTTGTTTGTATTTTTTTGTATTTTATTTTATGATATGTTGTTTTGCTGACTGTTCAGTATGATTGATCGATTAAATATGCTAATTTCCTGTGTTTAATTGCACAAGTGCATGTTTTGTTTCTAAATAAAAATGATTCACAATAGCTTTTTCTATGATTTTCATTCCTTCCTGTTGCACATTTGAAATAAATGGAAATCAGTCATGTTTGATTTTTGTTATTTCTTTATATTGGTTTTATTAAATGAATGTTACAATATCTTTTACATATTAATTCAATATATTTTGGTATGTGATAATAAATTAAACAAAATTCATGCTTTTTTTTTTGTTTTATTAGAATACAATTGTATCTGTTCATATTTGTAGAAGTAAAGCCTGTTCCATTTAACTTTTTAGAGAAACACAATCAAATTCAAGAGGGTCCAATCTTAATTCTTTAGAAATATAATTGGATCTGTACCCTTCTCAAACAACTAAATTCCTATTACATAACAACACAAGTGTATCTTTCTGGTTTTAGCTGGTAACAGTATCATAAAATATATTAATAATATCATAAGATATTATTATACCCCTGTAGGATAAAAGGAATAGTAATTTGGCTTGCAAAGTCAGGTCCTGCTGTGCATGGTACATTGTATACAGTCACAAATCAAACAGCACCTCAATAGTCTTGCTGGGTTTATGTTAAGAGGTGCAACCTTATTTCATATATGTGAAAAGAAGTTCATAGCAAAAAATGAAAATGATTAGATACGAAAATATATACATACAATGTCCCAATTTAACCCAGCGACCCTAGATGCCCTCCAAGTACAATACCCATTCAATTTCCAAGCCACTACAAATAAATAAATAGGCACCACTCTCTCCTCTCCACCCTAACTACACACCACTGATTCGCAAGACATTACAAGATATAAAGACTTGGAATGACATGCCAATATCCTGGCTAGGCCGCTTAGCCTCAATAAAAATGAACTTACTGCTGAGGTTGTTATAACTCAGTTAATCCCCATAGGAACAACTTACTTTAAAATGTTACAGACAAACATCAACAAATTCAAATGGGCCAATAAAAGAACTAGGATCAAACGCCAAACTTTCTACGTTCCAAACAAAGGAGGAGGTCTCTGACTGCCACACTTTACCCACCACTTCCATGCTGCTCAGCTGGCCCAGATTCAAAACCTTCATGCCTCCTTTGGTTTCAAATGATAGGTAAATCAAACCAAATTTGGGAGGAATTTTCCATCCCTGTATATCTGGCTCCCAATGCAAGCGAGACCACCACTTCCTTCCTCCTTCCCAGCGATTCCTACATCCATAAAGATATAAGGTAACTGTTAAATGCGGCCTCATCTCAAACCCTTCACTACTCACACCTATCCTCAATTTGCACACTTTGAAGATAACAACCTAGTCAGATTCTAACAATTTTACGCTTATCAACAACTAATCCCCTTCGCAGACCTTCCACGACCCAATCCACTAAAAACTTTCGATTATTTTCATGTTCTGATCAGGAGCTTCCTCAATACACCCACTTATAACTTAACAAGCACAACCCCCTTAACACCTTTTTAAAAAGCATGCATTCAATGCCCTATACAAAAAGTTTAAATCTCCACACTATATGCCCTCATATCTCAGAAGAAGGTTCCCTATCCTATATGTCTGCCTGAAGAGGGATCTGCGTCCTATTAGGGATTTCAAGGATTAGATAGCCATCTGGGAGGCCACTGCTACGATCTCAGTTTGCGTGAACCATAATGAGCAGGCTGCTGAGTTGGTATATTACCCCACTTAGGCTAAAACAGATGGGGAGGACAGGCTTGGACCGCTGCTGGAACATGTGTGGGAGTAAGGGCACATACATCCTTCTATGGTGGTAATGCGACCAAATAGCACAATTAAGGCTTCAAGTGTCAACCGAAATCTTACACTCCAACATTCTGCTTGACCCATGGCTCCTTTCCAAACATCACAGGCACACCCCACAGGCCCATAACAAACTAATTGCAAAAATTGCATTAGCCATGAGACAAGCAAAAGCAGAAAAATGGGGAAGCCTGGACATCCCTCATTGGATACAGTAAAAAGTGAACGATGCTAGGAAAATGGACAGCCTTTCTGCATTTATCCATGACACCACAAAACGCTACAATAAACTCTGGGAACCTTAGCTGTTCGAGTTTCTACTCCCCACCTAAATCAGCACTTGAGGGGGCACAGAGCGTAGATGGAGATGGATACTGGATGGATACTCCTGGTTTCCAGCTTTTTCCCTGCCCTTCCACAACCTAATTCCCCCCCTCCCCCCCTCATTTTTACGTATGCACGAATGCTATTTGATGTATCTTGCTATCACCCGACTATATTGATATGTTCTTTACGTTTAATGTAATTTCTTTATTCTGTAATTTCTTACCTTGACAAACAAACATTGAAAAAACTACATAACTAAAGAATGTCCCAATTTAATAATCTGGAGTTGGAGATCCTGAAAAAGTAAGGGAAAAAAATCAGCAGAACATAATTTAAATTTATTTAGACACTTATATATTTACATTTATTCAACACCCCAGATTGGTTGTGCACTGCATCTCCAATTGCGCTCTTAAAGCCAAAAAGATGGCAAAGCATCATGAGAAATGTAGTCCACAACATCTGGCGTGCCGAAGGTTGCCTACTCCTGATCTAGACGCTTTCTCAACCAAATCAGCTGTAATTTCTAACAATTTCTTATGAATGGACAACCAGTGCGCAGACTCACAGTACTTGGATCTGGGACCGAATGTACTATACATGTACTAAACAAATCTTAATAAATATATGGTGAGATAAACTCTGCCTCAAGAATGCCAATGATATTCCATATTCTTCTGGAATGATTTCCCCTGTTTTTACTCATCCTCCATGTACATTGTGTCTGTAGCTAATTTCTTAGCTTTGGAATAGCAATTTAGAAAAAACTGGAGCAACATACTTGTTACAAATAAATGATGTCTAATCTTGTTACAAAAGTAACATTATATACATTTTAAAGTATTTGTCTGACTTTTTAAACCTTTAACCCCTTAAGGACCAAACTTCTGGAATAAAAGGGAATCATGTCACACATGTCATGTGTCCTTAAGGGGTTAAACACAGGCCGGCTGTATAAAGACATCCCCCTAACCTGGTTGTGTCAGATCCACCGCGGAATCCTGAATACATACTGCCTTTTCATCGTTTTCGTGTTGATTGGAAGTACATGAAAAAGTTTACCCTGCAGTTAGGGTTACGAGATTTAGCATATATTTCCTGAACACAAATATTATTCATGGTGATGAGTAGTCAGTGAAAATTGATACGTTGCAGTGTGTAGAATTAATTTAATGCAGAGGGAAAAAAATCAATTAATCAGGGCAGCCTGTGTATATGGTATTATGTGTTTATCTTCTTTTAGCTAAATGCAGGTTGTACTTTGAGCAGAGGGCCTGAGAGTGTGACTCACATGGATGGATATTGCTAAATGCTAATTCCGGCCTAGATTTACCTGATTGATCTGGATGTGTGCGTAGATCAAGGTGTGGTATTAAATGCAGGCTTTCTGCAGTACTAGAACAGTGTGTCCTGTTTCCATGTCTAGTTTTATGATTAACAACCAGGAAAAAACTCTCCAGCCGTAACATCCACTTTGAGATGGCTGTGTGCTCACTTGCTACTTATATCTACAAACTGGATCCTTCTGGCAAGCGGCTTGTCTTGGTGGGTTATGGGTTAGCACTGGCAATGTTTTAGTCATTGTGTTTGCTATAAGTACTTGGGAACATTTATTCAACCCTTTCAGTGCCAGAGACATAGCTAAAGAACAGATATGCCAGATGTTGTGCCTTCAAGTGGTCAAAGGTTTGTATGCCTGTTAGAAGGGGTATTCCTGGTAATAGTTTAGTGAATAAATGAGTTAGTGAATTAACCCTTGAGAGGGTTGTTCACTAAAGTCAAAATGCCCCCAATCCAGAATAGCAAAAATAACCCAGCTGCAATTGGTTACCGAAATTCAAACATTGACCACAGTATTTATAAGGTCCAGATTTTGGCATTCCTGATCTTAATGGCCATGAATTCCCGACGTATTTCACCCTGTCCAGAAACTACCTATCTTATGTCCACTCTGAAAGGATTACTCTTTGACAGTGATTTTGAAATGGTCATGGTGCCTGCAGTCTGTATTACAAGTGTTTCACTATACATTTAACCCTTTTGCTGCCAGAGGTGTATCTCCACGTAGCAACCTAAGTCTAGCCGGCCTGGCTAATGTCAGTTCTGTGCATATTGGACATCTAGCGGGCTGGCGACAGGTGTCCATTGATGGCACGATCCCTCCCTTAGTGCCACCCATGTTCTCCAATACAATTTTTGCAGGACTTATGAACGGGGTCATGCTCAGCATGAAGAGGTTGAATGCTCTCAACATGCTTGAATTTCTAAACTTAAGAGTTTTGCTTTAAAAATAAAATAATTGCCGGACAGGGAAACACCCCACCCAAGACCTAATACACCCTCCCCCTATGGGAGGGACCCAAGACAACCATCACCCGCACCCTTACGCGGAGGAGAGATCAGACACTACCCACATCCATGCCCACCATGCACACACGCACACCACCAACAGCTCTAGTACAGGCACTGCACGTACCAGGTGAACGGAACTCTACCCAAACCACCCACCGCCAAGTACAAAGGCGAACGCCACAAGAATGCACTACCAATCCCACCATCAAAGCCCACACGAGATACTACCCTCACCAAGCAAGCGACCAATAAGGGCAAAGGTCACCGGACAACCAGCCCCATACGATATAGCCACCAACCGACCAACCAAAACCAGATGGGCACACAAAGCCCCCACCCGGAAATTAGATTCTAGTGATAATGTTTCCTTTCCTGTGACTTGCCTCTCCCCCAACCCTCCTTTTTTATTTCTCTACCCCCCATTTTGTTTTCTTTCTCATTATTGTTCCTACGGTGTACACCCACCGCTTATGCATACTATTCATATCACTTGCAAGAAACAAACCGCAAAAAATGACAAATGAAGAATGTTATAATAAAAAAATGACTGACAGACAACGAACACTTAAGCTCAAATACTCGGCTTCTGCGCATGCCATCTACAGAAATGCCACTGTACCAAGGAACATTAGGCTTCTGCGAAAGCCACCTACAGAAATGCTATTGTATCATTGAATTGACTGTCAGTGAACAAATAAAGAATTCAAAAATAAATAAATTTTAAAAAATAATTGCAACTGTTGCAAATCTTCCCTTAAGACTGCCAAAGTATCCATATGGTTATCTCTTTTCAAAAGGTTAGGGAAGATATAGTCTTCTATAGGGCACCCCCTCCTCCCCCCCTCATAATGTTGATTATAGCTTCCACAGCGAGCTACAGTGGTTATGGTGCTTGGAGGACCTTGGAGCACTAAAAGGAGAAATAGCTTGTGAATTGTTTGACAACTTTTCTTTTTTTGGTTATGGTACTTGGCATTTTTTGTTGTTGTCTTTTTCTCTATGATCTATAAGACTGAAATGTTATTTTACCTCTAAACATTCTTAATATTGTATTGTGCTGTTTTGTTACCACTGCTCCAATGTGGACTTCGGTGTTGTTTGGCAGTATGGTACACTGTACTATGGTGCAGCATGGAAGAAAAGTTGTTTTATCTACTGGGTTTTTTTTGTTGCTATTTTATTAAAATCATTTATTTTTTCAGTGACCCTAAAACTCATATTTTTTTATGTTCCATATAATATTTTGGCATCAACATCTGTAACCAAATCTCATATGATAGCAGTGTTTGTATCATTATTTTATAAATAATTAATCCAGAAATATCCTGAAACTAATGCTGTAGGAAAAGGACTTAAAAATGTGAGCTACAAATTCCATGTTCCACACTACTACACAGGTCTAAAATGGCTTGCCACTACAAGCCTGGAGGGCCTACAGCAGAATTTTCACTTTCAAATGGGTAGTGGGTGAGTGGAAAATTTGGGGATTAAACTAAAGTGAAAGTTAAATCCCAACACTCTAAGCAGAATTTCGTAGGGTATTAATTATGCTAATGGCAGATATTCAACTGTTGCGTGACAGCGGAAAGAACAATATTTCAGAGGAAGACAAAATATTGACATAATTGCAAACTTGTCATGAAAGTATGTTTCAGTGTTTATGATTTCTAAAATGACATATTCCATTTACTTGCTAAACACAATAAATTTAACTCAAATACATGTTACAGTCAAAACACAGAGTGTGACCTTGATCTGCAATAAAAGGTGGGTGTAGCAGAAGTGTTAGAAAAACCATAACAAAAATAAGAAATTTGTCTTTATTTTATTGACATTTACTATTTCAGTTTAATCTCATCATTTTGAGGTTGAATGGACTCTAACAAATCTCTCCACATTGATAATTATGCAAATATTTTTATGAATATGAAGAATATAATAGAAAAACATTTTGAAACATGAACTAAATATAATTATTTTCACAGAAAAAAAAATAGTTCACAATATAGCAGAATGAATCTGGGATGTTATAAACGCTTATATTTTCAGGTATAGTTTCTCCTACAGGGTCGCACACTAAAGCGAGAATTCAAAATGAATTTCAATTTTAAGGCCAAAGTAGCCGAACTTGAAGCATAGCTAACCTAGAATGTTTCCAGTTCGGCTATTTTTACCTTGAATCAGGGGCGGACTGACGGTTCAGGCACTTGGGCAATGCTTAAGGGAATCGACAAGAGATTGTATCCAAATGCTTCTTTAAAACGTGTCCGCTCAAATATGGTATATTGAAATGAAAAAGAAGTGGAGAAACAAGTAGACTTCTGGTGTAGTATGTCAGGTATGATAAAGCAGATATACAATCAAAAGATCTTGCTTACCTATTCCAGAGCCCTTAATGCCTGGCTCCAGGTGATAGCTCTCTGTTTTATCATACCTTACATACTACACCAGAAGTCTACTCGTTTCCCCACTTCCTTTTCGTTTCATATGCCATATTTGAGTAGACAGAAGAGGGGATTGTGTTACCTAGTATACTTCTGCCTATACCATCTGAGCCAGTCCTGGAAGGCTCATTCCCATGTGAGTTGGACCATTGGACACCTACAGTCCACTTATACCCCTGACATTATTACACTATTAGTCCTTTTTCTCTCCATTTTACAGCTTAATCCCTACGTCCCAACAAAGGGCAGGTGTATCCTATAGTACACCTTACACGTTCTACTTCTCTGGTTGGTGTATTGTACACCTTCCTGTTTTTGATTGTTTGCATTGTCTATAATGCTCAAGATTTGTCAAGTAGAATAGGAGGTCTAGTCCACCTACTGTTAGGTAGTTAACTATGGCTGAACCCCTACAAATGACTAGCCCACTAATATATTCCATGATTACACAGTGGCATAGGGTGAAAATGTTAAACATAGCTCTTGCATTCTTCTTCCATAACCCTGGGTGCCATAAGCCAATTTCTCAATCCTTCTGACAAATCCTACTGCACTAATAAACAGGTCCACAGAACCCTCAGGTCAATAGATCTTAAAACCCCAACATTGTTTTGGGTCCCTTAGAATCAAGCTGAGAACCTTTATTTTAATGGATCTGTTGTTAGTTAAAGAAAATAATGAAATTGATGTTTATCTGTTACATCTTCTATTTGCTCATGCAAACATTTCTTGTCACAAAAAGGCAACAATAAAAGTCTACCTGTTCATGAATCGGAAGGGGCTTAAAATCATAACATTAATTTAATAATAGTAATACTAATAGTGGTGAAATGTAGAAAGTGAAGAATTGATCAGATCCACCCTGCTAAAACCTGGAGATAGCCAGCGTTCTCCTTGAGTAGGAAGTGATAAAAATGCTTTGTAAAGTCACTAAGGCAAAGTTCTATAAAATTAGCCTTCTATATCTTGACCTGATACCAGCCAAACTGAGAGCAAGTGCCTCTTAAGTTTCATGCATGAACATAGTATTTAGGTCTACATAGGTCCACTATGTTCAGAAGTTTGCGTGCCTGCTGTGTATACCACTATGCAAATCATTTTGTAAACAGTTTCAATAGCAGAGTTAAAAGCATGTCTTTTGTGGATGTTTAAATAAAGATTGTCATCTGCAGACTATAAATGTACTTTAAATATTTGTTGTGTAATTGAAGAGATATAGAAACTTCTATAAAATATTTTTTTAAAAGGGGAACTGTTACTATTCTTGAAATTAACAAAACCAAAAAAGTTACCTGTGCACCATTCTTCATCACTGTGTACACTTAAATAACAGACATTTTGGTACCACTGTAATTGACATTAAACTCAAAGAAAACCTCTTAGGTGAGTCATAGGTTAGCAATTCACCTTGCAGGTTACACGTGTAGAGAGGAGAGTGCTAAACACTGGAACGTTGCCAGTTCTCCAAATAGTGTGTTTACAACTAACATTACGTATATTACATACATATATTGCATAACATTTAAAACAACCTGCACAATTTCACATTTAATTATCTATGAAATTATGTTCATGTTATATATTACAAGGACAAACAAACATAAATAATTTGGATGTAGGTGGGATATTGGAATAATGATGAATAAAAATACATTTTGTGAAACATCCAAAATGTAACATTTCCCTTAGCACTATATCATGTTTTAATTTCAATGTGATATTTTATAATATACTATAGGACATCTGTATGACAAGAATAATATATATATATATATATATTAATAAATGTAGAAAAACATTTGTTGTTTTTTTGTGTTTTTAGACAAAATACTTTGGCACATCAACTTTTTTTTCTTTTTTTTGAATGAAAGAGAGATTGGTTCACGAGGGTTCTTGTGGAGACAGGTTTTTAAATACACTGTAACTGATTGATGTACGGACCTTGAAACTGTCCAGTTCCCTTTACTCAAGGCTTTCTCTCTGGTGTAACAGAGTGAGGTGTCACAGGCAAATAGGGTGACATCTGATTACAAACATGAATGGAGCTGCCAAGAAGGGGCAGAGTTCAAAAAATGGGTGATTTTTTTAATCAAAATATGGGTATTTGCTGTTTTGGACGCACACACCAAAGAGTAAACAGAACAATTCACACCGTCCCTTTCTTGACTTGGGAAGAGAGTTCTGACCCAATGCCTCAAGAGTATCTTCCAAGCTTGAATTTGGTCAATTTTTATCAAATTTGAATGTGGATTGAATACAGTACGTTCCAAGCTGTACCAATGTCCAGACATATTCTGAATGTAAGCAGAAGATAATTAATTCATGAAGAGTCGAAGTTTAACTCCACCGCAAAGTCGTCCTTAAAGATCTTTCCGGATTTTTCTTTGTGGGGATTGTCCAGTTCATTCTTGGAAAGATACAGCCTGCAATAACAAGACAGGCATTTATTTTACATGTGTTTCTTACTGCAACAAAGTGCAAAACTCCAATGTCAAATTCCCAATAGATAATTAACAGCTTTCTTAGTAATCATTACTTAGCATCTCTTAAAGGACAACCGCCATCTCACAACTACTTTTATTATAATAATCCTTTCATCAAGTTTTAAAAGTAAATAGCTTTTTTTTAAATTAAGTTTATGAAAAAAAATAAAACGAAAAAACCATCCCTTTCTTTGATATATTTAGAAAGTGCTTGCAGCGAAGTGATATAAATGTCTGTTCACACAATACTGCAACGCTGTTGAGCACAGCAACACTAAAGATACAAACATCAGATATACTGCTGCAAATTCCCTAGAACATTGAAAGGCCAGCCAAGATGACTGACACATGGCTGTGAAAAAGGTCATTCCTACATGTTGGGTTACCATGAGCCATTCATCATGGACTATTGGGTGAACTTGGCTATGCCCTGGAGATGTTGCAGGGTTTATCTGGTGAGTACTTTAAAATGCACTAGGTTCGTGTTACATACCAAACAATACCAACGAATAGAATGTTACACCAAATATTCAAGTCATACATATAGCATTTTAGTCAACCTAAATAAGACATCAAATGGTCAGTAAAATGCCATTGATTATATAATTTCAAATGGTTTGAAAAGATTTTTTTTTTTTTTAAATGAGGATTTTTTGTAAAATGAGATTAAGGTGTCACTACGTGAAAGGGCACACATTCACCACTTTTGACTTCAACATTAGTTTGAGGAATTTTGTCTTAAAAAGCTAGCAAAATTGTAGCTCACCCTCCCTGACCTCTGCCATTTTTGCCAAAGCTATTAGCAAAAAATATATCTGTTCTGAATAGTATGTACATTAATATTTGCTCATAAGAACAAAAATCTAATTTTAAAGAAATGCATTTTTTTGTTGTTTACTGAGAATCGCAATGTAAGAAACAACTTTTAAATGATATCCAGGAGGCATACAAATTCATTCTGGAATATAGCATACCATCTAATTGTTTCTAACTGCAGTTTCAAGTCCAGCTTACCTGTTATTCTCTATAAACGATGTATTGAACCAAAAGTAGAATGGGCAGTCATCATAGCCTTTTGGGAGGCCCTAAGTAAAACAGAATCAGCATATTAGAAAATTGTTAGCAATATAAAACAGTTGGTTTCATTAAAACATCACTTTTGAAGCACAGCCTACATGCTTTCAAGAAATCTTTGTTTAAGTGTCTCATATTCGTTTGTTTCTTAATGCAATAGCTGAAAATAAAAAGTTTTAAATACTATATGATATCCCTTACATGCCATAATTATGGCAGAGTATAAAATATTATTATAGAAACACATTTGTTTCAGATACTGTAGATGTGATAAATAAAAATGGTCAACTGCCCTGCTTATATTTATAAAAAACCTAATGACATTTTTGGGAATGGAACATCCTAAAAACGCCATCAGAATGTAAAAATAAGGTTTGTATGTGAGCATAAATGCTCACTTACAGAAAGTACAGTTGGTTGGCACAGAAACAAAATAGGCTGCACATATATAACCTTGGTGGGAAAGGGGTTAATACATTTAAATGTAAGGTCACATACATAATAGGGAAACTCTTTTCTTCATCCTATACTATTTACTACTCTATACTATTACTATGCAGTGTAGTATACTTTAGCACAATTTTACTACTCTGAAATATTTCATTAATCCTTTTAGAGCCAAAAGGGTGAAGAACACTCCTCTAACACTCAATGGGTTAACTCTTACTTTAAGTGTAAAAAATGGGAATGTTGCTGTGACTTGGATAAACCATTCTGACTGGATCTTTCCAGTCATTTCATTGAGGAATAGGTGAAATGATTGTTCTAACGGAAAACCTTTAAGAGCTCATAAAAAGCAGCCAGTTGTGAGATCATCATTATTTGACTTCCGAAACGTACAAGAAGAAGCCTGCACATTAGGTCAGGACCTGAGAAATGCAGTTTAACATAATACTTGTGTTTATTAATCATTAAAGAGGCTGATGCAACATATACATAATTTGGCAAATATATTTTTCATATATATATATATATATATATAAAATATATGAATGAAGTGAGCACTCAAAGGATTTTCAAAAATGAAGTTGTGTTGTATGAAGCGATCAATGTTTCGACCCAAAGGTCTTTATCATTATAAACACCTTCGGGTCGAAACGTTGATCGCTTCATACAACACAATTTCATTTTTTAAAATCTTTTAAGTTATCTCTTCATTCATATTTTCTATATTTCTATGCTGTACAACATCAAGGTCTATCGAATTCTTGCTATATTAGAGGTAGAGTGCCATATCTTTTTGTTAATTATATATATATGAAGATCTTAGGGTTCTGGAGACATTTACAATTAATTCTAACACAGACCTTATTCGTTTGGAATACATTTCCCAGAATGCTCTACCAAATAATAGTTGATTGCTGACACAGAATTTTGGGAACAGTAAATCAAAATCCTTCAAGACAATACTAGGCCATCATGATTTTTAACCAGTTCATCAAAAAAGTCAATTATTATTAATTATCAAATATTACTTACAGCGTTGGACTCAAATCTTATTTTGATATCGCCTGAAATTATCGGACATTCTTCAAGACTGATTACTGTTGAATTGCTCCCAGCATCAAAGAACAACTAAAATAAATAAATAAATGTTTCATTAATCTTTAGCAATAGATTCCATTGTTTAAAAATTAGCATGCTACTGTTAGATGGTATGTCACTCCTAAAGAGCATGTTACCGTTATAGAACATGTGACTTTGAGAGAAATTGGCACCACTACAGAGCTTGTCACTGTCATAGAATATGTTGCTGTTAAAGAGCAGGTCACTTCTAAAGAGTATGTTGGTGCTAGATGCCTTATTGCTGTTATAGAACATGTGACTAAGAGAGAACTTGTTACCACTAGAGAGCAAGTTATTGCAAGAGAACCTGTTATTATAGGAGAGCTTGTTAATGTTAGCAAGGTATTAAAAGGACTTTGCATAAAGCAATGAGAAGAGAGAGTTTTACACCATAGAGAGACAGTACTTTACAGAATGTACTGATAATAGTTGAGCAGAAGAACAGTATATTACAAACAATACTAGGTTTTTAACCAGTTCATGTCAATTATTATTAATTATCAAATATTACTTACAGCGCTGGTTAATATCGCATCGGTTCAAGACTGCATTGTTCCCAGAGAACAACAATGTTTAGCAATAGATTCCTTAGCATGCTACTGTTAGATGGTATGTATAAAGAGCATGTTACCGTTATAGAACAGCGAGAGTCACTGTCATAGAATATGTTGCTGTTCACTTCTAAAGAGTATAGATATTGCTGTTATAGAACATGTGACGCAGAGAGAACTTGTTACCACTAGAGAGCAAGTTATTGCAAGAGAACCTGTTATTATAGGAGAGCTTGTTAATGTTAGCAAGGTATTAAAAGGACTTTGCATGTTAGAAGCATGTTACTGCAAGAGAACTTAAAAGTCTGTTACAATAGAATTATATAGCGAGAGATGTTACTTGTTACTTGTTATAGAGTTTGTTACTTTGATATAGAATTTGTCATTGCTGTTAGATCATGCAGTTACTGTAACTGTTACAGATCATGTCACTGATGATAGTTATTAGAGCATTACTGTGACATGAGTGTGCAATTGGCAGGCAGTATCACTTTGTTACTTAACATGTTACTGTTATAGATCCTGTTACTTTGATAGAATTTGTTATTGCTAGACAGCATAGTACTGTTACAGATCATGTTACTGATATTAATTGAGTTACTGTGACAGAGTGTGCAATTGGCACATAGTATCACTTTGTTACTTAACATGTTACTGTTATAGATCCTGTTACTTTGATAGAATCTGTTATTGCTAGACAGCATAGTACTGTTACAGATCATGTACTGATATAGATTGAGTTACTGTGACAGAGTGTGCAATTGGCAGGCAGTATCACTCTGTTACTTAACATGTTACTGTTATAGACCCTGTTACTTTGATAGAATCTGTTATTGCTAGACAGCATAGTACTGTTACAGATCATGTCACTGATATAGATTGAGTTACTATGAGAGAGTGTGCTATTGGCAGATAGTATCACTCTGTTACAAAACATGTTACTGTTATAGATCCTGTTACTTTGATAGAATCTGTTATTGCTTGACAGCATAGTACTGTTACAGATCATGTCACTGATATAGATTGAGTTACTGTGACAGAGTGTGCTATTGGCAGACAGTATCAGTCTGTTACAGAACATGTTACTGTTATAGATCCTGTTACTTTGATAGAATCTGTTATTGCTAGACAGCATAGTACTGTTACAGATCATGTCACTGATATAGATTGAGTTACTATGAGAGAGTGTGCTATTGGCAGACAGTATCAGTCTGTTACAGAACATGTTACTGTTATAGATCCTGTTACTTTGATAGAATATGTTATTGCTAGACAGCATAGTACTGTTACAGATCATGTCACTGATATAGATTGAGTTACTGTGACAGAGTGTGCTATTGGCAGACAATATCACTCTGTTACAGAACATGTTACTGTTATAGATCCTGTTACTTTGATATAAACTGTTATTGCTAGACAACACGCTATGTTGCAGATCTTGCTGTTAGAGAGCTTGTTACTTACCTTACAGTATTCCTGAGTTTCACAAACACACTTGAAAACCACTGTTTGCTTTGATAATATCTGAACTTTCAAGTCACTTCCATTGCTTTTTCCTACACCTCAAAAGAAATAGTAATACAAGCTAAATGTCAAAAGGAATAAACAAACACGTGACATTTGAGAATTGTAATATATGCATTTGAAAATGTATGTCATAACATTTCTTATTAACCTCTTCACTACCAAGTTCTTTTAGTTTTTTTAATGACATAACATTTATTTGAAAAAGCAGGATGTAAAGTTGGTGCATAAACATAGGATAAAACAGCAATTTGACATACAGGGTTATTCATTAAAGAGAGAACTATTTGTAATTTAAACTGAATGTCATATTTAAAGCCAAAATTGTAAAAATCCTCCAAGTCAGCTTTGCTATTAGTTCAGCTGCTTTGGTCTTCAATTTAAAATTCACTTTGAATTCTCAAAAATTCTTATGTTATTGAATAACCCTCGTATTGCTAAAATAATTACTGCAATTTTAGTGTTTTGGCTCTTTATTCCTTTAAAAAAAAATATTGAGTGGGTAAAAGGCTTTAGAGATCATAAAATATAAAACATCAGATTTGATCTGGAAAAATAAATAATTTACTAGCAAAAAATTAGTTTTGGATACAGAAAAATTCAATTAACGGATTCCCACATCAATCCTGCCTTACTTGAATCAGAGCCCTTTGATGACCATAACTTAGCAAAACATAATGTTTACAGCGTTCTCATGAACACCTAGTGTTTTACTGAAGAGCATCCTGGGATTATTTTATTTTGTTCATGGAACAGACATATCACATGATAAATGTCTTAGCCTCATACTTGATTCTGGCCTCACCTTTGAGCCTCACATCCAGTATATTGCCAAATCCTGTAGATTCCATCTTAAAAACATAGCCCGCATCCACCCCTTTCTTACGCAAGATGCTACCAAGGAGCTTGTCCATGCTCTAGTAATTTCCCGCATGGATTACTGTAACCCTCTCCTAATTGGTCTTCCTAAAAGCCGTATTGCCCCACTATAGTCTGTAATGAATGCTGCCGCCAGACTGATTTTCCTCTCTAGTTGGTCCTCTCACACCTCAACCCTCTGTCAGTCCTTACATTGGCTTCCTGTATCCTATATGAGCCAATTCAAAGTGCTAACCCCTACCTATAAAGCACTGAACAATACTAGCCCCTCTTATATCTCTTCACAGATCCATAGGTATGCCCCTTCTCGGTCTCTCCGCTCTGCCTGTGACCTTTTCCTGTCCGCTGCTCGCACCTGGCCAACTCACACTCGCAGGACTTCTCACGGGCAGCTCCTTTCCTATGGAATAGCCTGCTTACCTCCATCAGAATATACCCTAGTCTTCAATCATTTAAAAAGTGCCTTAAAAACCCATCTATTTAGCTTATGGCCTCCCGGAGTAACCTCTACCTCATATACCTGTCTCTTGCTCTCTCCTAAAGGGCAGCACTTTACTCTCTCCTCCAGCTCTGCTTCACTCCCACCTTATTTGATTGCTATCTCCTGTCCTAATGTGTTTTACACCCCACCTCCTATAGACTGTAAGCGCGTTTGAGCAGGGTCCTCTTCAACCTATCGTTCCTGTAAGTTTTCCTGTAATTGTCCTATTTATAGCTTAATCCCCCCTCTAATAATATTTGAATCTGCTGTCGCTATATAAATGGCAATAATAATAATAATAATAATAATAAAATAAGCAAATAAAATACTGTAATACACTGAAAACATTTAAATCATATTGTCTTTATTTAACCCCTTAAGGAGCCAAACTTCTGGAATAAAAGGGAATCATGACATGTCACACATGTCATGTGTCCTTATGGGGTTAAACTATTACTTTAACTCGTTATGAAAGCCGTACTCTTTAAACTACTAATACAGTTTGCAGACTCTAACATTCAAAGGTTTTTAAAGGCAACATTGTTCACTGGTCAGATGACTGAAGTCTTACCACCAATTGAGTGGATTCTGATGCTTCGAATCTTGAGTTTCTTCTCTGGGGGAAGCTGCAACTGGTATTTGTTCTTGATTATTTCATAGTAGGTGACATACCTGCTCTGGAACGTAACATATACACCAAAGTCAATATTAGAAGGCTTTGCCCATCATGAAGGCTGACAAAGATAAGGTGCAACTATATTTTTGTTTCTAATTAAAAAAAAAAAAAGCCCCAAAAATGTATCTTTTGTATCTTAAAAACATTATGTTGATTCACAAAATGCATCATCTGATAGACATTAATGGTTTAAAGAGTCAAAGGCAATTGCAGCTTCAATGGCAACACGTGATGTCATTAAGCTATAGGTCACAGTCTCCAATGTTTGTGATTTTCTTATTTGATGCCATAGAACCTTTTCCACATAATACTACACAATTACATGTATGTATTGGTAGCTAAAAGCTCCTATCAAATAGGGTTAGGGATGATTAAAGCTTGAGGCAAAGTGTTGAGAAATTCTGCTACTAAGGGCATCTTTTAGTGTTTTTTTTGTCATTGGACTTGAGAGTCCCTTGTGACACGAGACATTGTCTGCCAGGCCAAGTTGGAGAACCCAAAGAAACAATATAAAACAATTAGGTTTTATTAAATGTAATCCATGTTTAAAAATCAAGAAGTGAATATTTGATAAAAGTTGCCCTTTAAAACTTTTATTTTATGTCAGAAGGGAGATTTAATAAACATTAGGAAAAAAAACACATTTAAAAAATCTCCATAAATTAGACCAATTGCTATTATTTTCCTGGAGTACAAAAATATACATCACAGAGGAAAAAAAAGTGGAAGACTATCTTACCATAAATCTAGAACCCAGGCTCTATCTATGTGTAGTAGAACCTTAAAGTGTTAAATTGTGAAATTAATCTGGATTTACATATTTTGATCTCTTTTCAATCACCTTTTGTATTAGACTTCTAGAAACTTCGTCTCGCATAAATAATGCATCCAATTGAAGTAACAGTGGATAGACTCACCTGAGATGGTGTTTCCACACCCTGGAACTTGGTGCTAACAGATGTATCAGTCCTACGTTCTCCAAAATAATCCAGACTTTCCTACAAGAAGAAGACACATGATACAGGTATATATGGTAAAAACAATATATACAAGAAAGTGGACATCATCAAACTATAAGGGATCCAAGGGAAGCGTGGATACATGAAGACATGCATTTCTTTACAGAAAGCTAGGAATGCCGGATCTGGTAGGTGGAACACCTGGTGTGTTCTAAAAAGTAAGAGAGACAGACGGCCACAAAGTGACAAAACACAGCCCAGAAGTGCAACATCAGAACCATGGAACCCAAGGTGTGTTCCAAACACAGAAGGGGGATGGTTTGAAAGAGGCAAGGAAGTTTAATTACAATAATTAGAAGGAGCATATAAACATGGAGAGAGGAACAGGAATGATGAAGCCGGTCAAGGCAAAACACATTTTGGACTAACATATACCCATTGCGATTTCTTTTATAAAGCATTGATTTTATTTATTTTATTTTTTTTAATTCTAATACATTTCAATTCCTTATTTATATCAGGACGAGTGGAATCTATCTTCTTTGGGATGATCTATGCCATATAGTGTGTCGAGCCAGCTATACTAGGCTCAAAACCATGTTAGTGATTCCATTTAAAGCTGTATGGGGCTTTTACTTACACAGAATTATGCTATGAGGCTTTCTTGGTTCCCGCAGTGTCTGTATATGCCATTTACCACCTTACAGAAGAGGGATCAAGACTACCCCTATAAGTACAATTGCATCCATCACCAGAGCCAAGTGTCCATCACCAGAGACTCCTTTGTGAGTGCTAACATTGCAATCATTTCTAGCCACTTTGATAACTTGTATATCTACACTATTGATTCTCCATTTTTGTTTGTTTTTCTCCTGCAGTGACATTTTTTTACCCTGTTATATAGAAGTATTGGTTGAGGTTTTGTTGGATGCTGTTGTACGTAAGTACCTATCTCATGGACAAATGAACTGCTGAGGTACACAATGCTATGACCTCTGGGATATAAGTCGCATATAAGACAAACAACAAGGTTTAACAGGAACAGAAGGCTAAAACGGCCTTGCCTAAGAAAACTTGCAATCTAAGAAGTACTAAACATTTTACGTATAATCCTTGTCAGCAATCCTGGTTCTCACTTGCATCGAATTAATATTGGGTTCTCCCACTAATAATGGTGCCCACAGCATTGGGAAGTGACAGAAACTATTTAATGGTTTATAGCATCAGTGGTTCAAATGAAACATTTCAGTGGAAAGAATTCCGTGACATACCTTCGCACTCTCAAATTGGTCACAGTCAACGAGGTATGTACAAACCATAGTTCCCGTTCGACCTAAAACAGGCAAAAAAAGAAAGCATATGAAGTTTGTATACCATAATATATTACGTTAACTCAAATGTCATTACAAACAGCTTTACTACCTAGAAAATGTATTATCTAGCAAACCGGTGTTATTGTATGCTAAGCCTCAGATAGTATGGAATAATGAAAAACATTAACTTCTTCCCTGCTGTCTGCTTACTGGCTGCTGGACAATGACATTGACCTCCTCCAGAAATTCTAAGAGCATTAGACTATGGATTCGAGCCTTCATGATGCTGAGATCTTTAACAGAGAGCTATGTTACCCTGTGATTGACAATCTATTGTAACAACCAAATATATGTATTCAAAGATTTACAATATTACAGGATCGTATATATGTGCTTTGCAAGTGCTAGCTCTGTGATCAAGATAACTAATGTTGTTTAAAACAGCGATTTAGTAATGAAGAACGTCAAATAAGGAAGCATGTTCCCGTCTTCTTACCTTTTCCCCCTTTACAGTGAATTGCTATAACGTTTTTAGGATCTAGCGCCATCCATGCTCGTACATTTGCGGTAAAAGCCAACATATCTCTAAAAAAAAAGTAAATAAGGTTTTGTCTTAACTTACTGAATTATGAGAACTGATCGATGTATATAAGGTACAGTATAATCAATATAATATACATTTTCCAGCCTTTGATTTAAAAAGGTACATACGCTAAGGAACAGGACATTATGATCATCTATAAACACTCTTTCCACCCAAAACACATTTTGAAAACTATTTGGGATCATATCCTTTCTCACCTGATAAAGACAGAATATATTTCATTATTTTTTTTAATTAGCAAATACATCATTCAATTATAAACAGCATCTTTATCACTACAGTTCTAGTTCTCTGGCTTTGGGTGATTTGACCCATATAGTGTGTCGAGCCAGCTATTCTAGGCTCAAAACCATGTTAGTGATTCCATTTAAAGCTGTATGGGGCTTTTACTTACACAGAATTATGCTATGAGGCTTTCTCGGTTCCCGCAGTGTCTGTATATGCCATTTACCACCTTACAGAAGAGGGATCAAGACTACCCCTATAAGTACAATTGCATCCATCACCAGAGCCAAGTGTCCATCACCAGAGACTCCTTTGTGAGTGCTAACATTGCAATCATTTCTAGACACTTTGATAACTTGTATATCTACACTATTGATTCTCCATTTTTGTTTGTTTTTCTCCTGCAGTGACATTTTTTTACCCTGTTATATAGAAGTACTGGTTAATGTTTTGTTGGATGCTGTTGTACTTAAGTACCTATCTCATGGACAAATGAACTGCTGAGGTACACAATGCTATGACCTCTGGGATATAAGTCGCATATAAGACAAACAACAAGGTTTAACAGGAACAGAAGGCTAAAACGGCCTTGCCTAAGAAAACTTGCAATCTAAGAAGTACTAAACATTTTACGTATAATCCTTGTCAGCAATCCTGGTTCTCACTTGCATCGAATTAATATTGGGTTCTCCCACTAATAATGGTGCCCACAGCATTGGGAAGTGACAGAAACTATTTAATGGTTTATAGCATCAGTGGTTCAAATGAAACATTTCAGTGGAAAGAATTCCGTGACATACCTTCGCACTCTCAAATTGGTCACAGTCAACGAGGTATGTACAAACCATAGTTCCCGTTCGACCTAAAACAGGCAAAAAAAGAAAGCATATGAAGTTTGTATACCATAATATATTACGTTAACTCAAATGTCATTACAAACAGCTTTACTACCTAGAAAATGTATTTTCTAGCAAACCGGTATTATTGTATGCTAAGCCTCAGATAGTATGGAATAATGAAAAACACATTTTAACTTCTTCCCTGCTGTCTGCTTACTGGCTGCTGGACAATGACATTGACCTCCTCCAGAAATTCTAAGAGCATTAGACTATGGATTCGAGCCTTCATGATGCTGAGATCTTTAACAGAGAGCTATGTTACCCTGTGATTGACAATCTATTGTAACAACCAAATATATGTATTCAAAGATTTACAATATTACAGGATCGTATATATGTGCTTTGCAAGTGCTAGCTCTGTGATCAAGATAACTAATGTTGTTTAAAACAGCGATTTAGTAATGAAGAACGTCAAATAAGGAAGCATGTTCCCGTCTTCTTACCTTTTCCCCCTTTACAGTGAATTGCTATAACGTTTTTAGGATCTAGCGCCATCCATGCTCGTACATTTGCGGTAAAAGCCAACATATCTCTAAAAAAAAAGTAAATAAGGTTTTGTCTTAACTTACTGAATTATGAGAACTGATCGATGTATATAAGGTACAGTATAATCAATATAATATACATTTTCCAGCCTTTGATTTAAAAAGGTACTTACGCTAATGCCGGGACATTATGATCATCTATAAACACTCTTTCCACCCGATAATGGAAAAATTTGGGATCATATCCTTTCTCACCTGAAAAGACAGAATATTGTATCATACAGCTTTCTATAGCAAGTAACACATCATTCTATAAACAGCATTCTTTATCACTAAATTGTGGAGTTTCTGGCAGATGTATTTGACCTGATAATATGTGCTAATTTGGAATTGCATGCATTAGTCATTTTGCAACATGAACTACGGTGTTTCTGTACATTAAAGTACATTTAATGCATGGCACATATTTTGTAAAAAAAAAACCTGACTGATCTCTGTAAGTCTTACAAATGTATAAATCTTATAAACTTAAAGGGACACTATAGTGCCAGGAAAAAAAAGTTATTTTTCCTGGCACTATAGGCCCCTCCCTCACGCCTCACCACCCACGCCCCACCTCATATGGTACAGAAAGGGTCAAAAAAAACTTTTTTCCATTACCTCAGTTCAGCACCAGCATCCCATGGCTCTTTCTCAGGTCCGCCTTTGCTCCTCCCCCGCCGACGTCTGCCGGCAGGGCAGACCTAATGCGCATGTGCGGCAACGGCTGTGTTCACATTAGGATTTCCCCACAGAAAAGCATTCTCCAATGCATTCCTAAAGGGATTTGGTGACGCTGAAAGTCCTTATGCATAGCGTGAGGACATCCAGCTCAGGCGAACAAAAGTCGCCTAACAGCCCAGAAGCCCCTTTTGTGGCTGTCTGTTAGACAACTGCTAGGCTTGGAGTTAACCCTGAAAGGTAATTATTGCAGTTTCTTAAAAACTGAAATAATTACCATTGCAGGGTTAAGGGACCTGGGACACTGCACCCAGACCATGTCAATGAGCTGAAGTGGTCTGGGTGCCTATAGTGTCCCTTTAACAAATTCAGAGTTCTATATTAGGGACATGCAATCTTTGACATTCCAGATGTTGTGGCCTACATCTCCCCTGGTGTCTTATCAGCATTATGGCTGGCAGAACATTATTGGATATGTAGTTCACAACATCTGGATAGCATAGGTTGCCTCCAATGTTTCTAGACATTTTAAAATTTCCTGGATTGCCACATTTCATTACACGTCACACACAAGGTGATATATAAAAAAAAACGTTGCCAATTCCATTTAGAAGTTCTTTTTTTTAATTGTATTAATTGTTTCTCTAAGATCTAAGTTTATAACCACTGTAATGTTGTTTCACTCCTGTGGATGCTGCACATGCTATGTACTGTACATTTCTGAGCTTTTAAACCCCAATTAAAAAATTATAAATTCAGGAAACAAAAATAATTTTGAGGACACCTACTGCATAAATTGTAGATTTTGTAATGATCTTTATGCTTCAAGTCCAAAAATCTGGCCACCTCCTTAAAATAAAGACATGCATACATTATAATAGACATATACATTGTATTCCCAACATAAAAGAAATACTTTTTTTTTTTTTAAATAGTTAAAGTAATATATATTATATATAATGTACAAGTACAACACACACCATTCAATAATTTACTATAAAGCTTATAAACTTTATAGAAGCCTGTATCTTGTTTCAAAACATTATCGCAAACATTGCACAAGAATGCTAGCACGCTAGTGCACTAACATTTTCCTTCTATATCCTAACGTTAGGAATGCATAGTTACATTTAGGGCAGCCCTACAAAAAAAACCAACCTCTGGTAATGTCATCCAACAGACAGTCACATAGAAATATAGAAACATAGAATGTGACGGCAGATAAGAACCATTCGGCCCATCCAGCCTGCCCAATATTTCAAAATACTTTTAATTAGTCCCTGGCCTTATCTTAAGTCTTAAGTCTTAGGCCTATCCCACGCATGCTTAAATCTTCATCTTCTTATCCAATCACAGCATTGGGGGTGAGAAGCACATGTGCGGCAGTAGTATTCTCATCCAATCAAATGCTTCTTATAGGGAAGTATTAAATCCAATGCTTCCCTATGATCAGCATTAGAGGACATTCAATGTCCATATAACCGAATCTGACTTGGTGATAGCAGCATTGAGATGAAGTGCTCTGGGTGACTAAAGTGGTCTCCTAATTACTAAATTAACTCACACCATGAGACAGCAATCCTCTGGGGCTCTTTGAAATTTTAAGTTTTAATAGACATCTGGGACAGTCAGAGAGGTAAACCGTAAACATGGCTAAAAATCCAATAGAAAACGTAATACTAGCTGCTGGGTTCCACTGGGAGACACACTCACAAATACATTTATATATGAGAACCATATTAAAAAGTCATACCTTTATTGGATTCCTGTAAAAGGACTGCTTTCCAGATGATGGGAATGACATCGCAATTATCCGATCTAATCAAAATAAAGTAATGAATCGTTCAGTATTTATCTGTCAATGTTCTACCATCAGGGTTTTTTCACTAACGTAAGAATTCAGAGCAAATTAATTTTAAATATAAGGCCAAAGGAGATGATCTGGAAGCATATTTGATCTGTTCCAGTAAAATTATTTTATTTTTATTTTTTGCAAATCTTTATTTGTGAGATTTATACCATGTAATATAAAGGAATATAAGCAAAGTGTACAGTATGGTATACTAACCAGGGGCAAGAACACTCCCACATGATCAATGGACCCTGCAATTTATCATCAAAATCCAGGACATAACATTGCTCAAAGGGGCTATACACTGAGTCAGGAGCACCCCTGCCTCCAAGAGGAGACAGATTTAGGCAGTGACAGCCAGGTCATCTATTTTGACCTTAAACTTGAAATTCGCTTTGATTTACAACAAATTTTCACAAACAATAGTAGTCTTTCCCTAAAATCCAATTTACTTAATCAGATGATCTTTGTAAATTGTAGCATGGTAGTTTAATTATATCAAATGTGACAGACCCACTCCTTATTTTATATTGTACCTATTATATATAAGTGCAATAACAATATGTTCGAACATAGCGTCCCTACGATTAACAAATTGCATTCATTCAAAGTTAGGCCAGAGTCAAAGATGACACCAATGCAGAAAATGCTGAAAGGTTTTAAGTATGCATTGATCTGCATTTCGTCTACTTGTTGGGCAATGACAGAGGGGGTTAGTTTCATGAGGATGTTAGATTGACACGACAGACAAAACAAAGGGGTCAAATATGGAGCCTTGAGAAAATGCAACTGAGGGCTTAAGATTACAATATTTTTATTTTACAAAATTTAACTTTGTGTAAATGACCTGGTATCACTGGATACCTGTCACTGTGAGAAAACAGTGTTTAATTTTTACTATAATCTCATTGGAGGTAGTTGGGCAGACAGAAGGAACAGCATTTTGTACAAATTATTTTACAGTGAATGGTGCATTGATATATCCTATTTATTGTATTTATTTACAATTTTTATAAGGTGTACAAGCAGTAGAGATTCCTGCTGTGGGCTTCAATCCAATGCCTGCAGCATCTTCTACAAAATGCTATGGAAACAGCCCCTGAGTTTACAATCTAGAGATGTTTCAAATATGTCCTAGAGAAATAGACGTATTCATTCACCTAGTAATCCATTTAGTAACCTTGCATGGAAGAATGGCTGAGATGATCCCGCCGGGAAAAGAAGCTATGACAATGAGGTTTGAACATACTGTATACTTGGTACAGTGACCCTACCATAAATAGGTGAGAAAACAAAAAAATAACTCAATAAAATAATATACACACTGTATGTAATAGTACTGGAATTATTCATTTTAACAATTATATTCTAAGGCAAATGTTTAATTTTTTACTGAAGCAATATTAGAAATGCTGATGATCAAAATGTGAGATTCATACCAGTTACATAGGTAAGATCCAGGTCAAACCCATCCTTCTGGTAACGCCTTTTGTTTTCCGAAACCTACCTCGACAAAAAAAGTTATTAAAATACAGATCATACAAATGATTATATCACAATATCATTAATGCACCTCTGAGAACTCAGACTACAGAACCTCCAGATGTTTATTGTTGGACTACAATTCCCATCATGTTCAGTTTGTATATGATTGACCGAGGGTGATAAAAGTTCTGACTTGACAACAGGTAACATGTTGAAAGCTTCCAGAATAACAGAGCTCAAACTAATTATTGCAGGAATTAGGGGGAACTAGGGATGCACATTTATTGGTTAATTACCTAGTGTGTGAAAAGATCTGAATTTTCTAATGAGTCTACCAGCTCCAAAAAAAACCCCATGATGCCTCCACAGTAAATTCTTTTGAATGTAATGCCTGTACACTCATAATAACATTAATTACAGTTATTTAAATTTTTGCAAGTTCACCTTATCAAAGAGAAATCGCAAATTCAACATCATGAGTTTTCAAACAAAAAGCCACAGGCACAACCTGATTAATACAATATGTCATAGTGGAAATGTGGATTTGTGTGTATCTGTATACAAAAGTGGTACTTTGTTGTTAATAATTTGCTAATTAAAGTATTGTGGGGATCATTCATATATTGGGTAAACTGGTAGAGGTCATATTTTGGTAAAAACAGCTCTGATTCAATGTGAATCAAATCTAAATACGTCCAGGTGAAGTATGTTCTCAGTTTGGTTATTTAGGTCAATATTTTGCAATTCATTTGAAATTCACACTTTACCACAAAACCCTCATAAATAGGATATAATAATGTAATGCTATGCAGTGTTGCCTAAATGTACAATGCCAGCTGTTACAGCTGCCAGGACATAATAGGAGTGGATATCATAGGACAAAATTGGCTGTATAAGTACACATTTTAATTTATTACCGGGTGTGCAGGTTTAACTTAGTATATATGGCTTTAGGTGATATTTTATTTGCAATGTGGATAAATGAAGAGTTAGTATAGAGTGCTTGCATATCCCTCAACATCTGTGTCCCAAAGTAAGGCGAGGGTCGACAGAGTAAACTAGGGTGAACCAATGAGGTGAATCACATCCCTTTTACTAAAATAATTCCTTGGTATTTTCACTTGGGTAGTGGTAAAATAGATAGCTGGACCCAAGGCATTTTAAATTATTACTATTATTATCGCCATTTATTTAGTGGCAACATATTTCACAACGCTTTACGATATTATAAAAGGGGAAATTTGACAATACAATTTGTTACAGGAACAATATGATGACAAGGACTCTGCTCAAAAGAGCTAAATAATGACATCTCTGCCACATCACTGTGACATTCCCAAACCTTTGTTTGCTCTACAAGCCTACATATTTTAGTGACTATTTGTAAAACACATTTTTTGTTTTAGTATAAATAATTTAGCATAAATATAATCAATGTGTGTTCTACAAATAGTTTCTATGTTTAATCTTCAAGGACATTCAAAATAATCTGAAATTGTATACTCATCACTAATTTTAACATTAATAGAATTGCCCCAACAATGTTCTTTAATAACACGCCTAGATCCGATTTCTGTTACGTGAAAAAAAAAAGTTTTGCGTTCTGCATAATTGTTTTTATATGATACACATGAAATGTAAGTGTTCTCTTAGCACTGACAACATTTTTGTTACACCAAGAATCAGCTCACCATCCTCCTAGTGACCTTTTCAAGCTGTTTCTTCTGGGAAGCCAATCGGAAGATTCTAACCAAGATGACAATTCTTAAAGCTCGGAAAAAGTTAACTAGCCTAGGTAAAAGAAGAAATAAAGGTATAAAGAAATCACCCTTTCTTTGTAGAATAATACAATACATTCTATGTAAATAAATGTCAAGATATTGGTAAAATATGTGATATAAGGCATATAGCGGCTGTAGGGAACTGTTTGTTAAATATTTGATCCACTGGAATACATACGGTTGTACAGTACATGATATATATTTTTTAAATACTCTTTACAACACCAATAAATGTATGTCTCCTTCAAGAATTGCCATATAGCATGTATGAAAAATGTACTTCTACATGTTACACCAAAGAAGTATCTAACCAAAGAATACCATCAGGAGATGGAGAAGGAAAAATGAATGTGGATAAATAAAAATTATATGAGTGTACTAAAGAATGTGGGATTAATTAAAAGAGGAACTATCACTTCTCTGGAAATTACAACACTGAAAACATATTAAAAAGTAACTATACATGTGATGGCCCATTTCTTATATTTAAAGGGACACTCCGGAGCCCTAAAGCACTTCAGCTTTTTAAAAAAATTTATGTCTGAAGAGTATGTCCTCTTTTTTTATTTTACAAAAAGTGCTGATTACAACAGAAACTGGCACTTTTTAAAATTATCCTGGTTATACCCAATGGTTGTCAATCTGACAATTGGTCTTGTTACTTCCTGGTTTATTTAGCTCAGTGAAGCTAAACTCAAGAGGCAGCAAAGACTTCTCATTGAGCTGCATTGGAAAGTCTGTGATTGGACAGCCACAGAAAGTCTGGGCTGGGTTAGAAGGGGAGGCTTTGCAAGGGCTGCAGACAAGAGATCTGCAGCTTTTGCAAACTGTTTTTCTCTTTGTTGACTGATAGAAGCAAAGGGCAGAACTTATAACTATAACTGACAGGATGCCAGGATGACAGTGCTCGTTCCAAGATAGAGGTAAGTACAGCAATGTACAGTTGTAACTTTAACTTTATATTTTAAAACAATATTAAACAGCGGGAATTAATGAACATAGTATTGCAAATTTTGGGAAGTAAAAGTTCCCCTTTAAAAGTAGAAAACCTTTCTCAGCTGGTCTTCTAATCAGTACACAGTACGGGTACAGAGAAATCCAGTGCTATATGTTTAAGATCCACAAGCATCTTAAAGTGACACTGATTACCTACCTTGGAATATTTGTTGCCCCGCTGAAGTCTGTGAAGGTGTATATTACAGTAATGATTAGGGTTATCACCACGATAGCAGCATCAAAAATATTTAACTTGGAACTAAAATACCGTTGAAATCTGCAAAGCAGAAAATAATTTCTTTATTATATAAATATATATATATATATATAATTCTGTTTGCATGCAATATTATAAAAGAAGACATAGAAGACTGCCAATTCTGCAATCAAAAGATGAATTAATAAATAGAATAAATTCTAGACGTCGTAGGTCAACGACAAACGCTATGTTAGGATGAAGGGATGAGCACAATATGGAAATTGGAGATGTGATCATGTGAAAGGATCAGTGGAAACAATGACTTTGTGTCACGGTGTCTTTAAATTATTCATGATCAGTTCTGTCACCTTTCTGTATTCAAATCCAACTGCTAGTTCTTTTTTTATGAATACTAAACTTTATCTATGCTTGGTTTTAAGTATCTCATCTACTACATTATTTACCTTTTCTTTTTACTAAAAAGAGGTTACTTCTTTTACATTTTTTTCAGAAAGTTTTCTCAAATATTACACTTCTGCAAACCCCTGCCCTATACACAGGAGTTCAAAATGCAAAGTATATTTGGAAACAATACAACTATATAAAAACATTTTGCAAGGAGGGTTAGATAACACAGTGCTATGTCTTGATCCAGATTAAAGGCACACTCTAGTTGCCTGAAGCACATCAGCTTGCTAAAGAGCTTTGTGGTTAACTTTAAAATCCTCTCTGTCAAATTTTATAAAAGAGTTGATTTCAAGAAAAACTGGAACTTTTATTAAAAAAAATCCATATTTACACCTTTCTTGCTGTAAGCAGGCAACAGTGAGGGTTTCCTGCTTCACTTGATTTGAACTGTAGTTTAAAGAAGAAGGTAATTATTCTTATAGAAAAGTATTGAAACCAGTGCTTCTCTCTGAGAAACAATGGATTAGTGCAGTGGTTGCTGCACATGTGCCATGGGTTACTGATACTTCTCTATAAAACTATTTGATGAACTGGATATTATCAATTGTGATGATCTCAGCAAGGGCAGCCTATGTAGACAGTAATAGTATTTGTTCGGCTCTAATCAATTTGAGGCTAATAAACTACATAAATATAAATTAAGTCACAGTTACATTTATAGAATTATAAAGCAGACTTGTGCAAAAAAAAATATTTTGAGCCGATTTTTCAGAATAAATTCAAATCAATTCCGAATTGTTTTATCTATGGTACTACCTGTACAGGTAAGATTGATTTGGAGAATTGGAATTGATTTGTTCCTGTATTGATTAACAAAAAAAACTAAAAAAATTCAGACGAATTTTGCAGAATTCTAGTATACAATAAGCTACTTAACCCACGGAGAAAAATCTCACTAGGGTAATGTACAAAGACCAACTAAAAAAAAAATTCCATGAAAAATACTACTTTTTTGTCCCGATTTTTATACTTTTGTCCAGAATAGTTTAGTTCAGAGTTCCTGTCTCTAGGTTTTGCTACTGTCAAGGGAAAAAGTGCAGTGAGGTCCCACTGAACATACTATCTGTACATAATAATTCATAGCACAGAGTTATTCAGTAAAGTGTGAATTGCAAGAAATTTGTCATGAATTCACAACAATTCTCACTTTCGTACATAACTCTGTTTGAAGAAATCTGAATTCCCATCAAAGCCCAATTTAGAGGACAGCCCTCATGGTGTATTTGTCACTCTCGTATAGATTACCCTGCACATAGAAATACAGAGAAAAGCACCACTGCTCGGGTATTAAGTTACTGTGCTTTAGATATTTCCCTATGCCTTTCACACACATGAATTAAATCATTCAGCACTTGTAGTAGTTATTAAACAGACAGGTAAAGGCACCGTCTGTAAATAATGCACCTGTTAATCTTATGTTCCACTGAAACTTTATTGAACTGTGAATGAACATAGTATATGCCTGACGTCTGCTAAACCATTACAGGAATCATTACAAACCTGACTGTGAATTCTTGCAAAGTAAAATGTCCAAAAGCAGTAACCATACTGTGGCAGAACTACAACAACCATGGTGCTTTGCAGCCTAGTAGTTCTATAAGACTTGAGGATCTATTCTTTGGGCTACTCTACTATAAAACATTTCCAGGTATGTCGTAGGGAGAATAATTGTAGTTATGAGAACTAAACTAAAGTGTTCAACTTAATGGGAAGCTCCACTCCTTTCTCTCTTACTTTACAAAGAAAAATGTTTCAGGTACAATGTATCCTGCTTGAATTAATTATTTTGTATTATATTATTCTTTGAAGTTGGCATGAAGGCATTTTTTTTTTTTTTTTTTAATTCGAGTTTTATTGTTATTTCACAACGGGTAACGGGGATACAGAAGGCAAGAAGGGTGGGTAAGGTATGATGGTTGTGGTACATACATTTTATACAGCAGTGTTGAAATAGACAAATATACATCAATTCCCATTGTCCTTTGCGTATTAGTACCGCTGATATTGTCTCATCGTTCTGTATTACGTGAAACCTTGGTGCGGGGTTGGTGACTAGGGTCACCAGAGATTCTGGGGGTAGGGAATGGTGGGGAGAGCGGGTAAGTAATGATGGCATTTTTCTATAAAATCCATTAAAAGTAAATGGAAAAAAATTAGTAATACCATTTCAATGTGCATAAAGGAACATAGTAAAAAACTTCAGAAGTACTTTATATTTTTTTACAAATATAAAGAAAGTAAGTTTTCCTATAGCTTGTATTTAACCAACAGATCAGTGATTAATAAATAGTACCATTTCAAGGCGATGATGTGGGCGAGTCCGATCAGTGTATCAAGATATGTAGGAGCCAACCGATAATATTGGTGCTGACATAGTTATACACATACTCCGAGAGTCCTTTCCTATAGTAACACTGAGACCATGAGAGATTTGGGGAAGGATATATTTCCAACCCTACCGATCCTTGCCACAACCTAGATCTCCTGCCTCAAATTATGACCTACTTTCCAACCCTCAGTACTCGGTTTTCCCAAAGGCATATAAACAAGAACAAGATCAATAGTTCAGATCCTACCTTTACAATTCAGATGGCTCCTATGTCACTGAGTCTGCTCGAACAAAATAAGCATGATAACAATAACGAGATCCCCGCACCTAGCTTACCATTGAAGGGTATGACTACCACTACATGATGTTATGAGATGTTCTGTAGACCTTGATAGATGCTCATTCATATGTATATTTCCTTCTTATTTTTACGTAAAACTGCATACTGAACACCTATTACTTACTTGCATTTTGGTTTATATGCACTGCCTGCATGTCTCATATTCATAACAGTTGTCGTATTGTACTTGTGAAACTATATTCGCTTCAATAAATGGTACCATTTCCCAACAATGTCAATTTTAATGGCCTTAGAAGGATTAAAAGCTGTGCGTTTTTGCAACGAATTTGAAGAAAAGCAAATTATACAGATTATACAATTAGTGCATTAACCAACTGAACCAGCACAGAAGTAGATCAGTTGTTTCACTATGATAGCTATTTGTCAGGCTGTGCAGCCAGCAAGTGCATTGGTCACTTACCCTTCAACAAAGATATGTAGAAGGACGTCAACGAGGAAGAACAAAGATATGGTTAAAGAAATTCCACATATGATGGCGCTGGTCTCGTTGCTTTTGTTTGTGACAGACAGATCCACAATTACGAAGATAAAGTCCACAATAATGAGTAAAACACCAAATACCCTAAAATAGAAAACAATAAATAATTAACAAAAGGTAACAATACAAAAAAAACAAAAAACATTCACATAGGGACAGAGAGGTGATTTGAGACTGACTGTGTAATATAGAAGGATCCTTGATCTGCCTGTCTCGTCACCTTCGCTCAGCACCACGGATAGAGTCTGGGGTATTACAAGTGAGGTCACCACAGACAGATACATTATAGTTCTGGTACAGAGACTAGTCGTATGTACTATGTACAGACAAAGAGAGTTTAGGATTCTTGCAGCAGAGTAGGGAGTTACTCTACTTACTAAATAGCAATTCCTCCACCTGAGTTTAAAAGAAAATTGCTGTTCAGTAAGCAGAGTAAGCCCTTACTCTACTAAAACAATCCAGCCCATTGAACGCATGTCATGCACTGCATATACTAGAATGCACTAAAAGAGAGATGCAATGCATTTATTGTGCTGTATATAATAGTTTGTGCTAAGGATAATTATGTGCAATGCATAGCTTGCAAATAATGGTATGTTCAGTGGAGAGAAACACTGCATTTGTTGCATAGTCATACATTTATTATAATTTTTATGACAGGGGCAATCTACAGGTAGATCCCTAAGTTAGCCCACATTCAGGATATGCATTTTGGGCATTCTGTTCTGGGGAGACATTAAAGTGACACTATAGGTATTAAAACACCTTTAGCTTAATGAAGCAGTTTTCATGCAGGCTGTGTCAGTCACATGCAGGGGAAGTGTGGCTAGGGCTGCATAAACAGAAACCAAAAGTGATTTAACTCCTAAATGGCAGAGAATTTAGCAGTGAGACTGCAGGAGCATGATTTATACACCAAAACTGCTTCATAAAGCTAAAGTTATTTTGATGCCTATAGTGTCCCTTTAATTATCAAACATGGAAGTCAAAAATTAGAATAAATACATTGAAATACTACCTAAATTATTACCGCTCTTTAAATTGCTAATAAGGCTGTGTTTTGGCAAAACTTGCCTGTTCATGTACAAAAGATTTTTCCTTCAGTGTACATGTGGATACCAAGTGAAGAGTAGCGCTACTATTGAGCAGAAACTCATCACTTGTTTTATAGTCTTTTCTCCCCTTATTAAGTAAAGTATTATTTTAATGTAACAAGTATTAATTATTGTTTAAAGAAAAGGAACTTAAATGTATGAGTGACAGATTGCAGGTGAGACAGTCTGTCAACTGAGATTTACTTTACAGGTTAATCCGTGTGAAAGATGCTGGGACCCTCCCTTTTCTAGCACTAATCTGTTTGTTATGAAACATTACTATAAGAAAATGAGATTAGCACAAGCACTCAAATTCATAGAACAACCTGGCCTATAACAAATTAACAAATTATCTATTATCACATACACATACGGACACACAATAAACAGTGAGCTGTTTATTAAGAAAATCCAGGGGTTACATGGGCTGAAAAAAGACATGCGCCCATCAAGTTCAGCCTTTCTCAAATCTGTTTTTGCTGTTGATCCAAAAGAGGGGAAAAACCCAGCTTGACGCTCTTTCCAATTTTGCAACAAACTAGGATAAAAAAAAAAATCCTTGACCACAGAATGGCAGCCAGATCTCTCCTTAATAAGCTGTTACCCCACAGATGGAAAATTACATCCCTGAATATTATGTTTTGCAAGTATTGATCCAGTTGCTGTTTAAACATCTGATAAAAACCACCTCTCCAGCAGAGAATTCTACATCCTTATAATTCTTACTGTAAAAAGAAAACCTTTTCTTCGCCATAGACGAAATCTAATTTCTGCCAGTCTAAATGTGTGACCTTGTGTCATATGTATAGTTGTGTCATATGTATAGTCCTGTCTATGAATAGATTTCCAGAGAAAGGTTTGTATTGGCCCCGAATATATTTGTATAATGCTATCATATACCCTCTCCGGCGCCGTTTTTCTAAACTAAACAGATTTAAATATGTGAACTTTTCTTCTTAACAAAAAATTTCCATTCCTTTTATGAATTTTGTAGCCCGTCTCTGCACTTTTTCTAGTGCCATAATATCCTTCTTGAGAACAGGTGCCTAAAATTGCACAGCATATTCAGGGCGTGGTTTTGCCAATTGATTTATAAAGAAAAAATATGATATTTTCAATCCAAGAATTAATAACCCTTTTTATACATGGCAATACCTTACTTGACTTAGCAACTGCTGACTGACATTGCACATTGTTGCCTAGTTTGTTGTTTATAACAATTCCCCATTCCTTCTTGTGTGTTGTTATCCCCAATTCACTGCTGTTTATAGACTAAGTGCACTGTCGACTTCTGCATTACACTCACAAGAATCAGAACCAAAGGAAATCAATAACAGTTAAAAAAAAACCAAAAAAAAAACTAGTCTGATTCTGGCAGTTGACCCCAAACACCTCAAAACCAAAGCACATCTCTAGACAGTCAAAGAGAAATCTGAGCACCAAAACAACTTTAACATAATGAAATAGGTTTGGTGTACAGATCATGCCTCTACAGTGTCACTGCTCAATTCTTTGCCATTTATGAGTAAAATCACTTTGTTTATTCAGCCTTAGCCACACCTCTTCTTCCAATGACTTTAACAGCCTCCCTTCACATTTTCTGCTAAGATAGATCTAATTTTTAAACTTCCTTTATTGCATGTGTTTAATTTCTCATGCCCTGCTCAGTTAATTGCCTGCTAGAGCCTGCAGCAGTCTCGTGTGTAATTAACCCCTTAAGGACTGAGGCAAATGTACACGTTTTGATCAAAATAAAGCGTAAACAAAACTTGGAATTTGACTATATGTCTGTTCAACCTTAATTCACCTCTTTCATATTAAGTGCACCCACACTATATATCATTTTATTCAGGGCATTCATTTAACATCAAATATTTAGCTATGAAACATATTTTAATATTAATAAATTATAAAAAAAAATGTGAGAAATTAAGAAATGTTGTTATTGTTTTAGTTCTGCATGAAATTTAACTGTGAATGTCATAATACTGTTAGCTTTAACTGCAACAAAATACATATACTTGTATTCGCCAGATTGGTTATGTTGCCTTTGAGAGCGTTTGGTAGCCCAGGAATGAGAATTACCCCCATGATGGCATACCATTTGCAATAGTAGACAACCCAAGTTATTGCAAATGGGGTATGTCCAATCTTTTTTGGTAGTCACTTAGGCACAAACCCTGGCCAAAGTTAAGTTAAGGTAAGTCCCCTGGACGGCATGGACGTGCTATGCCGCCCGTCGTCCTTAAGGGGTTAAAGTTTAATTACCAAAATAGGAGATAAGATTTTTAAAAGTAAACACACTGCAGTGAGACAACAGGGGCATGACCTATACACAAAAACCGCTTCATTAAGATACATTGTTTTGTTGCTTAGAGTGTCCCCTTAATTATTTAAAAACTGCAGCAATGAACAGCAAAAAGAAACTAAAATGTTTTTTATGGGGGGGGGATGGTGATCCTGATTACTCCATAGCTCCTATCGGGCAAAGAAATAAACCGTCAAGCACAATACCACTCAGGACCACTCCTAACAGAGCTAAATGCTCTTTTTGTCGCAAATATTGCGGTTGTCTAGGAGGACATGTGGGCTTTGACAGCTGCAAGCACTGGAGGATGACAGAGACATCTCAAAAACCAAACACAAAAATTTCCAGATGGAGGTGGACATGCTTCAGCAAGCTAACCTCATCATGGAGGACAAGGTAGCGAGCGGCACTTGAAGACTATAAACATCAGCGCAACCTCAATATTCGAGGTATTGAAAAACCATATTAGAATATGAAGTTCCTCACTACATTCACAGAATGCTGACCTCCTTTACCTCCTCTATAGTCAAAACTATCCTCCTTGAATATGACTTTTTGGGTTCCCAAGTTGCACAGAGCCCCTGTTGGGGATCCAAAGGACATGCTGATATGTTTCCAGTCACTCTGGTGTCAACAACGTGTTCAGGCTAATACTTGTGAATAACCCTCTTGCCATTTTGAGGGTTTCCGAACTCTTCCTCTCTAATGACTTCTATAGGTCTATCATATTATGGTGACGAACACTGAGACCTGTGACACAGAAGCTCGCTGCAGGATAATTAGATCTGATATAAATGGGGCCCAGGCCATAACCTGTCTATGCTCCATTAGTAGAAGTGAGCTCAACTCTTATCTGTCAGACACTGGGTTTACCCTTCTCAGATGCTTTAATGAGGCCTCTATTGGGTCAAATCTCTACCTCCTCAGCTAAGTTATGAGACGTGCCAAAATTCAGCATTTCTATCCGAAAAATTGCTAAATTGGAGAATGCTTCTATTTTACATATTTTTAACTTAAATGTTGCAATTCCCTTAAACCTTTACAATTCTCCCCTCAGTAAGTAAACTGAAACTTTTATAGCAACCAGCAAGTTGCATCTTGCAAACATATTCCTCTCTCTAACATCATAATGAAAGCATACATTTTAGTTAAACACCACTAGTTTTTACACAGCGATATAGTGTTCCTGAAACATTGTGTATATGTTCAAAGTACTCTGTTATTAACATGTTTTCTAGTCATATTCATCTTTAAATTAGGTAACATGTTAATAATTATATACAAGAATACATTAGTCATAATTTATATTAACTGTAATTAAAGTATACATGTCAAAGATGACACACTGCCCCATTAAAAAATGTACATGTCTTCTATATGGTGCCTAATTCCTAACAAATTTATAAATGAGATATTTATGAAAAAAGACAAGGCTAGTCCCATTCATTATTAAATGGCTAATCAGAGCAGTGAGTGACAGTTGTGTGCAATGCACCACCAGTTTGAAGAAACACTCCAAACATCCTAACGACCTTGGACCCTTAGCTGACACACAAAGGTCCACTGTCCCAGACTCTGCATAGACCTTCAAAATGGCTGCAAATAAAAGATCTCGCCTTTACTTATAGACTCAGAGGAGCATGCTCACATTTGCCCATTCCAGTACTACAAATGCATATTGGGGTTTATGTAATATGATGTGTTATGCTCAATTTCCACTGAAAATAAAGTGGGGGATCAGATTTGGCTCCTAGTTTATTGGGCTCTCACTGCGGAAGGCCACAGTAGTTTTTGGTTTATGCTCAACTTGCATGAAAATATTGGGAGCATTAAAAGTGGCTTTATCAGTTCTTCAGAACTTACTGCAGAAAAGACATATCTAAATTATTATTATTATTATGTTATTTATATAGCGCCATCAAATTCCGCAGCGCTTTACAATGGGTGGACGAACAGAGATGTAGTTGTAACCAGACAAGTTGGACACACAGGAACAGAGGGGTTGAGGGCCCCGCTCAATGAGCTTACATGCTAGAGGGAGTGGGGTAAAGTGACACAAAAAGGTAAGGATAGTATTAGGCTAATGACAGTTGCAGAAGAGGAATCAGTCGGGAGCTAGTAACAGTTTAATAAGTGTTATTGTATAGTATAATGCATTTTCTATATAATGTATTTATACTGTTGGCCACCAACATCCTGGCATGATCTTCATAAGCCTATGTGAAGTACTGTTTGAAGCTATAGGCTGGTTGGCAAGGTAAGAAGATTGTCCCAGCTAATCTTTAAAGCTCGGGACAAAATATGTGGAATGGTGAAGAGCTGGAACTTGAGGAAAGATGCAACCAGTCTTGTGAGCATGGCTGGTATGTCCCATTATGTTGTTTATCCTAATTCCTGATAGTCACGCTTCAATTCCAGGATGTTTCCCGCTGGGTTCACAAACCATGCTTAATTTGTGGACACTGACAACTATGACAAGGTGCGATGAATGGCAGCTTCAGAAAAAGTGACTCCTGTTTCTCTGTGCATGTGTCATTCAAAGTTTATTTACAAATGATCATTTAACACTCCTGGGAATGCCCCCCTGTAATTCAAGCTCAATATGACTTGTATATATTATGATGTCTGATATACTTATTAGATATATCTATATATGTCCTATTCTGGTTACCTCTAGTTTACTGCCTAATCCTGACTTCTGGATTCCTAAATACAGCATAACCTTGATTATGCTAGTTATTACCTTACATACTCTGTACAAGCCCTGCTGATGTTGACTTGCTGATTTTGACTGTCACAAAAGAGTGGTGTTAGATAAAATCAAAGGCCGACCAGCAGCTTAGAGGGTGACATTGCTTTTTTATTTTTCATAACTTACAACAATTCAAACGAAAACGATTTTTTGAATGTTCTTTATTGCCCACGGCACGCTTACTTTGTTGACAAGTTATTATTTTAAACTCTGCTCTAGGTGTTAAATATCAATATTATTCTCTTTTTTTTTTTTATTTTGTTCTTTTCTTAGAAACTATGTGTTAAACCATTTTGGATAGATTAGAAAAGCTTAGACAACACATATGAAAAAAAAAAACTAGGGTAAAGGATAGTAAAGCTGTCATAGTTACAAGCAGTTTGTAAATGGGTGTCACTGTCAAAGTAAAATATGGTGGGATTTCAGCTTTGAAGTGGATTGGACAAGATCCCGTCTTACATAATCAATTTGACTTCATAAGTCAATGAGTTGTTCTCTAAACTAAGAACTCCTCTGAAAGATATTAACTGATTAGTGGAACCCCGTGGAGTCTAGAGAGAAAAAAATATGTAAAGGATTAAAATAATAAGGATGCATGTTACTTCTCCGTTACTGATGTTAATGTTAAAATAAAATCTTTGTGGCTATGGACAGGGCACTCAAAGGTGAAAGGGTGGGGAGAGAGGCCTCTAATATCTAAATGCATTTCAAAATCACGAACCAGAGACTGCACTCACCAAATATATGGTGTGTCTTGGGTGCCACATTGACTGGAGTGGTCATACTCCCAGGAAACCTTTTTAGAGAAGAAGGGTCCAGGTACACTGAACTGGCAATTTATTGGGAGCACAAACATGATTCGGCTCTCGCAAGACAGAAAGGCTCCTTGTGAGAGCTGAAATACTGCATTTTTGCTTCCGACAATTCACCGGTTTTTGCTACTCAGTGTTTCTGGATCATCCTCTCTACATTAAGGGGATCATAGTGACTTGGTCCTCGCTTTCTGAGTGGCTACTAAGATCAGCTTGCAGTAGTAGTAGGTAGAGGTTCTCAATCTGTATTTGTAGCTCTTCTGGAGCTTTTCTCTGGACACTTCTACATAATGTTTAGTTAAGTTCTCCATTTAAGCCTTGAGGACAAACAGCTGGGATCCAAACTTTCAAGCTGTAGCTTCATATTTCCATCCTCATTGTTATTATTCTAGTCCAGGCATAGTCAACCTTCGGCACTTCAGATGTTTTGGACTTCACCCCCCATGATGCTTTGCCAGCATTATGGGGAATGTAGTACAGAACATCTGGAGTGACGAAGGTTGCCTATCCCTGTTCTGGTCTGTGTCTTGTTATGTTTTCCTTCTTGAATCCTGATTATTAAAGTTGCCACTTTATTCAGCATAGGTCCTGCTGTTGTCTATATTATTATTCTTATTATTCTTATTTGTATTATTATTTATTACACAAATCAAAGTAAAACCTTCTTTCTACACAGTGGATCCAAAGTGCTAGCAAACAAATGACTCATTAAAAGGTTTTAGGCAATTTATTTGTTCTTTACACTTGCAATGTGCCCATTCATCTTGGCTATTTTTCCATGCACCTTGAGCCTATATTCAAGAAATATAAAAACAAAATAGATATGTTTCTTACCTGAATCCAAAAGACATCACTAGTGGAGAGAGACATTTTTTCAGTTTGCTGTAAAAACAATACAGGAAATATATGTAAGATGACAGTCAATACATGTGACTTTTATCAAAGTATGCTGGAAGCTGTATGTATCACCAGTCAGAAGTGATGAGATGAGCTTTCCAAGGCTTACATGTATCCATTCATTTTGTTTTAATCCATGAATTATTATTATTAATAACATTAACACTGATCAGCCACAACATTAAAACCATTGACATGTGAAATGAATAACATTTAATTATATCGTTACAATGGTCCTGTTAAGAGGTGGGATATAATAGACAGCAAGGGAACAGTCAGTTTTTGAATGCCCAAAAGGACGCTCTGATACAATAAAATCTTCTCTGTACTTGTGCGCCCGCCCTGCATGAGATCTCATATAGATATAGATATAGACATAGATATTTGACCTCCCTACCGGCCATGCCAACTCTGGACTTCCAGAAAGGATCTGCTAATGTCTTGGTTCCTGATACCACAGGACACATTCACAGGTCTTGTGGAGCCCATTCCTCAACACATCAAAGTTGTTTTGGAAGCATGAGAGGGAACTACATAATTGTAGGCAGGTTTTTTTAATGTCGTGGCTGATCAGTGTATATAATGATGATGACAAACTATTTAACCAGGAAAGGTATATTCAGATTACTCTGGTTTTCAAGTGCGTCCTGGGGATGTTACCTTAGCACAACATGTTAACTTAGAACAATATAGCCAATTTAATGCTACTTATTTTATCTCACTCAGTAGTGTGAAGGGACAATATATTTCAAAGAGCTTTGCAATTATGGAATTGGGGATATTTGACAACAAGAAATTGTCATACAGAATAATAACAGAGACACGGACTGCTCAAGCGAGGTTACAATCTTTAAGGACAAGCTTACAATTCAAAGTATTATTGCTATATTTGGCATTTATATAGTGCCAACTTGTTCTCCAACTCTTAAGATATCACACAAAAATAATACATTTATTTAATCTTATGGAGCAGTCCAGTTAAGTGATGCACCACCTGTACAGCCTGTTTGAACTTCATGGTGTAAAGGTCCACAGGCTACCTGATGCTTTCATGCTTTCAAGGTCAATTAAATAAGTACTATTATTTAGGAAATAATAAAAACCATTACATCAGTTATCAATGCATTTACATCTAAGAGTATACAGTACATGATTTCAGTTCTTAGGGACTCACTTTGAGCACTGCACACAGCTTATCCGTCAGCCAGCATCCACTAGAGGTGAGCCCTGGGTATCAGTTGATACCAATATGTACCTGGTGTGATCAGTGATTTAACCCGGCTCACACCAAAACTGCAGAACATTCCGTGCTATCCTAACAGACTTTAAAGACCACTATTTCTATGGCGGGCATGGATGCAAACGGGTTATGATTGTATCTTAGTCATCTTTAGCCTCATTATTCTACACTATTCTGTTTTAACCCATCTAGATCATCTTATAAAGAATGACTGTGAAAATCTGAAGAGTTACTTTAATTTTAATTCAAGGGACACTGTAGTCACTATAACCATTTCATCTCTTTGAATTGGTTATAGTGCCTGGAGTGCAGGTGCGTAGCGTGGGTTGTCAGCACCCGGGGCAAGGCAAGTCATTTGCGCCCCCTAACCCGTGGATTTTGGCACTCGAGTCTCTTCCACTAGATTAGTTAAAGAAACCCTTACCCCCCAAGCACATGTATTGTTTGTTATGAAAATACTTATGTAATTAAAGTAAAATGCATCTAAATACAAGTTTATTTTCCAACACTTTATTGAGTGCGAACATGCATTACACACATTCTCCACATTTTCAGCAGGTCTATGAATACAAATATACAAATGTAGTAACCTAGCATGGGCCATGCTATTATATGTCGTCTCACAACCATCGTAAACGACAAAAAATATCAAGAACAAAAACTAAACATCAAAATGGAACCATACCCTGGAGATGATCCAAGACTGGGCTAGATGGAGCCAACTTCCTCAATCCTGTACCTCTAATTGTAATTCTTTAATAGAAGTGCAAGATATCAATCTGTATATAATATACAGATTAATTTAAATTCGCCTGCTTTTAATTAGTGCAAATTTTTCAACAACGGAATAGTGTTTCTTTAATGTGAGGTAAATTAGAGATTAGTGCCACGAATAATATACTACATTACCTACTTACAAGCAGATGAGGATGATGATGGGCTCTAGCTGCAGTCTGGCTCCACTGGTCTGGTGTAGAACAGGCTCTCTGGAGGCTGTTTGTAACTGTGGTCACAGAAATCAATATACTTGGAGAACGGGAAGCAGCTCCATTTTTGGGGGGCCCTTTACACAGCTCAAGGTCTGGGTCCCAGGGTCCACCTTCATGTTCCACCAATGAGTTTGTTCACAGGGGGTGGAGTGTGTAGGGGATGTCCTGATATGTGTGTAAGGAATGCATTGTGTGAATCTGTGTTTGTATGTGTAAGGGCTGCAAGGTGTGTTTCTGTGTATGTACAGGATGCAGTGTGTGCGTGTGTAAGGGGTGCATTGAGTGTGTGTAAGGGGTGCATTGAGTGTGTGTAAGGAATGCATTGTGTTTCTGTGTGTGTAAGGGATGCATTGTGTGTAAGGGTTACATTGTTTGTGTGTGTGTGTGTGTCTGTGTGTGTAATGCATTGTGTGTTTTTCTGTGTGCAAGGGGTGCATTGCATGTGTGTGTGATGGATGTCAATCTCTCCCCCCTCCCTTGTTACTCTCTTCTCCCCCCCTCTCCCTCCCTTGTCACTCTCTTCTCCCCTCCCCCTTTCCACTCTCATTGCCCCTTCCTCCCCTGTAACTCTCACCCCCGTCAATTTCTTCTCCCCCCCACCAATTTCTTCTTCTCCCCCCTCCCCTACCAATTTCTTCTTCTCCCCCTCCCCTACCAATTTCTTCTTCTCCCCCCCTCCCCTCCCCATTTCTTCTTCTCCCCCCTCCCCTACCAATTTCTTCTTCTCCCCCCTCCCCTGCCAATTTCTTCTTCTCCCACCCTCCCCATTTCTTCTCCCCCCTCCCCTACCAATTTCTTTTTATCCCACCCTCCCCATTTATTCTCCCCTCCTTATACAATTTCTTCTACCCTCCCTTCCCCCATTTCTTCTACCCCTCCCTCCCCATTTCTTCTCCCCGGTCCCCTACCAATTTCTTCTCCCCTCCTCCCAATTTCTTCTCCCCTCCTGCCAATTTCTTCTTCTCCTACCAGTTTCTTCTCCCCTCACAATTTCTTCTTGCCCCTCCCTCCCAATTTCTTCTTCCCCCCTCCCTCCCTGATTTCTTCTCACTTACCTCCCTCAATGTTCTTCTCCCCCTGCCCTCAATGTTTCTTTCCCCTGCAATGTTTCTTCTCCCCCCATCCCCTCACAATTTTCTTACCCCATCCCTGACAATTTCTTCTCCCCCCCCTCCATCCCAATTTCTTCCTCCCCCCCCCTCCATCCAATTTCTTCTCCCCCCCTCCCATCCCAATTTCTTCTTACCCCTCCATGACAATTTCTTCTCCCACCCTCCCATTTCTTCTCCCCCCTTCCCTCCCAATTTCTTTCTCCTCCCCCCCACCTTTGTTGTAGCGTGGCCGAGCCCTGCAGCATGATGGTCCGCGGGTACAGGGAGCTTTTGTTTCCTGTACCCGGCCGGACTAACAGGAAGTGCACACTGAGTGGCTGGAGTGGCTTGGCACTGTCCCTCCATTCAGTGTTGCACCATGTTCGTGCAGTATGCCAAATAAGAGTCCCTGGTCACCCACAGTCCGGCCCCTTCTGTATGTGTAGCTAAGGCAGAGATTAGACACTTCCGTGTTGTCATACCCATTCATACCGTCAGTTGGAGCAGTGACAGGCTTAAAGCAGTCAGCTGACACTCTCAGCCAATCACAGCTGCTCATTGCTGCTCAGGGTAATACTTCCTTATTAGCCAAAGCAGCACAAAGGGGATGGACTGCCGGGGACTATTGTTTAGCATTAAAACGTTAAAACATTAAAAACTGTTTAATTCTGAAATAAATTATGGTACCGTGGACTCCAGGCACTAGGCACTATAACCAGTTTAATGAGATGAAGCAGATACAGTGCCTTCGGTGTCCCTTTAATAAAAATGTATCTTTTTTGAGAAACATGTATAGTGCATTGTGAACTCACTCACACATCACCAGTGTGATGAACAACTTATTTGATGTAAATATTGAGATCAACCGCTGTTTACGTTACACACACTCATTGTGTTTTTACAAGAACATCTATATACAACACTTACTAGCTCCACGTTTCCTCCTCTTCGGGTTCATGTTTTCCATCATCAATTTCTATTTTCTCTTCAGTCGTGTTAAATCTAAATATGCAGAAGGATACAGAATTTCAGATATTTTCAATATTTTGCACCATTTAAATGAAAGGAAGGATCATTTTAAGGGAGGCATGTGTCATTTTGCCACAGACGTCTTTGTGAATTGTGCGCCATGAAAAAAAAAACGCCAGCAAGTTCGGTTACACAGAACTGGCAACTCAAACAGATAAACTATTTTAGAAATTCTGACGTGAATTGTCAAGTAAATGTTTTGGCACACTGAAAATTAAAAACACTGTGCTGCTTTTTATACATTAAAACAAGTTTAAAGGGTTACTCCAACAACCATGACCACTTTTGCTTTTAGAAGTGGTCATGGTGGTAAAAGTCTGTTTGTGCAGCATCTCTGCTTGAAATACTACACGTATCGGGTTATTTGCCCTTTTGTGCCGAGGGCTAGTAACAACACTCGGCACACGTGACTTAAGAAGCTCCGGAACAATGTCAACTCTGTGCAAAATTTATGTCTGTCGTCAGCATGCACAGCTCGCTAGTGACGGATGTAAGGAGATTCTCGCTGACTGCAAGGTGACTCCTGCCCTTCCCTTCCTCTCTCCCTTTTTCCAAGCTGTCCCTGCAGTGTCTTTTATTTGTTTGTTTTTTTTGTTTTGTTTTTTTTTCAAATTCCCCTATTTAGCTCAGAGGGCGCACGTGCTCTTAGGGAGGGAAACGGTCCAATTAAACGCTTCTATGAGAAGTGTTTGATTGGACCACAATCAGGCACGTCAGACGGAATATGAAAGGTAGTGCTAGGAGATTTGCCAATGCTGAGTTCCAGGTAAGTTTTTTACCCTTGTAAGGAGGGGACCTACGCCCAGTGGGGCATTATAAATTTAAAGCAGCCGAGACAATCACCACACGCGACTCAAAAACTGCGCTCGACGGAATCGCACACATTCTTCTGCACCAGACGAACAACGAAACAAACACAAACAGACCTAACAAGGAGCCTAGACTCACATAACTGACCCCAATAACGACTCCCAGGAAACGACTGAACATCAAGAGTTCATTGTGTTTGTGACAGATGTAGTGTGTGTGTGTGGGGGTGAAGTCTGTGTGAGAAGTATGTAGTGTGTGTTTGAGGGGTGCAGTGTGTGTGAGAGTTGTGCATAGTGTGTGGGGCAGTGTGTACGTGAGGGGTGCAGTGTGCATGAGGGGCACAGTGTGTGTGGGGGACAGTGTTTGTGGGGGGTAGAGCCTGTGTGGGGGTAGAGTGTGTGGGGGGGGGGACAGTGTGTGTGAGGGGTACAGTGTGTGTGTATGTAGTGGTAGTGTATGTGTGTGGGGTACAGTGTGTGTATGTGTGTAGGGGGAAGTGTGTTTATGTGTGTGTGTGGGGGCAGTATGTGTGTATGGGGAGTTATGTGGGGTTGGGAGGGCAGATTAAAACATATATATATATATATATATATATAATATTTTTTTAATGTAAAAAAAATATATTTTTATATCCCCCCCTCCCTTCTTACTTTTGCCTGGGAGGGGGACAGTACAAGGAAATCCCTGGTGGTCCAAGTGGTGAGAGTGAACTGTAGCAGCTCCTGAGGCTAGAGTTTACTCACACGAGATTCGGAGCGTTTCCGTGGTAATCGCAGCAATGCTCCGAGCTCGCGAGAAAGAACACGGCAGAGCTGCAGGTAAGAGTTCCCCAGGGTCCTCCCTCTCTCCCTGCCAGCTGCAGCAGATCTCTGATCTCCCCTCTAGTCCTGCAGAGTCGGTTCCCCGTGCTATGTGTGTGGGGGAAGTTATCATAGCACCAGGGAAACAATTTGCGGCGCCCCTATGTGCCCGGCATGCAATTTGGGAACCGCTGGCCTAACTTCATTCATTAGTTCTTCTTAATATAATTGTTGTTATTATTATTATTATTATTATTATTATTTATATTTATACAGCATCAACATATTCTACAGAGCTTTGGAGGTTTGTCTTATCTTCTACAAATACTAATACATTTTTTTCGTACCAGTTGAAATTTCAGGAACTGTGACAAGAAAATGTCATTCATTTTTAATCTAATCTTATCCTGAAACATGCAACATGTCATTTATCTGCAGCATCTCAACACATATTAAGAAAGACACTGGAGTTTATTAATTTTGTATTAGTATTCTTGGCATGCAATAGCATTATTAAAATGACCTGTTCTACAAGCAGAGAAAGAGGTCTGGGAATACCATGGAACCAAAGCCAACTGCTTGGGCAATTCCTATATCTAGGCTATTGCTGCTAATTATATATAAAAGTTATGCTGTGGTTCAGAGCAGCTTTTGGGGTAAGTGATTCCCTAGCAATACAACATATTTTTTATGGTTTTATTTTTAAAATATTAATATAGAAAATAAAATTATGAAATTAAACAAAGTACACTGATTTAAAAAAATATTTCACAGGATTTAAATACAATGCAAATTGTATGTATTAATTGAAAATTAAGTATTATTTGTTTTACTTTTACTGAATTAATACATTTCTTGATGTGTTTTGCCACTTCTCAGGATTTGTAATATTATGTTTACTTATCTCTGTATTTCATTTACAAACATGTATTGTGAGGTTTAAAAATGTAATTAAATGTAGAACCTCTTTATCCTGCATAAGTTTATAGATACATTTATCTATATTTATATCTAAGTTTATTAGATACATTTTCAGTTTAAGTTTTTCAGGAGTTTTTTTGGTTTCAATATTTGTTTAAAAGTGTTTGCTGGTAGGTTTAAGAAAAATATTGTCAAGTGATGCATGTCCCTTTAACCCCTTAAGGACCACACTTCTGGAATAAAAGGGAATCATGACATGTCACACATGTCATGTGTCCTTAAGGGGTTAAAGGAACACTATATGGTAGAAACACAAACATGTATCCTAAAGTGTTAAAACCAAAACTACCACCCTGCTCCCAGCGCAGAGCCAGCACAAGCCAAACACAGCCCTAGCCACTCAGCATCTCCTCTCCTTGAATCAACGCATCTCTATGAGGAATGTTCGGTGTCTCCATGCAGAGGAGGAAGCACCTCTAGTAGCAATCGGAGAAGTAGCCAGTGGAGGAATCCCTAGGTTGTAATTTAAACACTGCCTTTAATCTGAAAAAAAATTGTTTTGCCATGTTTACTGCAGAAAGCCTTAAGGGACTAATTATACTCACCAAAATAAATACAATAAGCTGTATTTGTTCTGGTGACTATAGTGTCCCTTTAAATGTTAGTTGAAAACCTCTCCAGTATATTTCCAACTTGACTGTTTGATTCAGTTTCAGTTCATCACAATTCGCTGTTTAAGTAACATTTTAATTATTTTAGAATTGCAAATATTTTATATGGTATATATTTCTATTACATAACCAGAACCATTTGTTGCTAATGAATAACCAAGTTTAAAGCTAACTGAGGCAACAAAAATGCAGTCATAGAATAAATTAATTTATTACGCAATTAGCTTCTAAATAACTACCACAATCAGAACATTAAATTACAGTGATAATTATATTATATTGCAATAATATCATCAGCAAAATCTATGTCAATAACCACCCTATGATTTAGGTTGACAGATACTGTGGACTGTTAATTGATTAATGAATTAACAGATAGACAGACAGAAATATAAACACAGAGACAAAAATAAAGAAAGAAAATATAACAGAAAAGTAGTCCTTGAAAAACTGCATTATTTCAAGAAAGCTATTGCATTTACAACATGTGCACGTTAAAGTTACACTGTAGTCACCCAGACCACTTCAGCTCATTGAAGTGGTCTGGTTGCAGTGTCCCTTTTGCACCTAGTGCTGCAGTGTTAAACATTTACATTGCAGTACTAAGTCTGCCCTATGTCTACGTCTACCAGACAGCCACTAGAGGGCTTCCTGGATTGAAACGGACCTCTGGTCCGGTATCTGATGCGGGACGTCCTCACTCTCTGCATGAGGACCTCCAGCGTCAGATTTTTCCCCACAGGAAAGCATTGATTTAAAGGACCACTATAGTGCCAGGAAAACACTCTAGTTTTCCTGGCACTATAGTGCCCTGAGGGTGCCCACACCCTCAGGGTCCCCCTCCCGCCCGGCTCTGGAAGGGGGAAAGGGGTAAAAACTTACCTTTTTCCAGCGCTGGGCGGGGAGCTCTCCTCCTGCTCTCCTCCTCCGATCCTCCCTGTCGGCTGAATGCGCACGCGCGGCAAGAGCTGTGATTTTCACAGTCAATGAGACAGCCGCTAGAGGCTTTGGGGGAAGGCTTAACCCATTGATAAACATAGCAGTTTCTCTGAAACTGCTATGTTTATAAAACAATGGGTTAACCCTAGAAGGACCTGGCACCCAGACCACTTCATTAAGCTGAAGTGGTCTGGGTGCCTAGGGTGGTCCTTTAATGCTTTCCTATGGGGATGTCTAATGTGATCACTGCATTTGCCGTGTATGCGCATTAGTGCCCGCTCATCAAGAGCCGTTGAAGGGGGCGGGGTGTCGTCCCAGCGCCGAGGGACATCGGTGCTGGGATCAGGTAAGTATATGAAGAGTTTTACCCTTTATTTACCAGGCAGAGGGAGGCGCGGATGAGGCCGGGGGAGCTATGATACCAGGAATACAGCTTTATATTCCTAACACTATAGTATCCCTTTAACGCTTCAGTCTGCTTAGCAGAGTTTCTTCAACACCCTCTTCTACTTTAGTATTGTCCAGCTTGCCTCGATTGCCTCCATTGAGTGCTCGTTCATAAGTCTAATAATTAAACCATGTTTTTTATGCTGTTCCATTCTAATAAATAATAACTTTTCTTCTTCATCCCAGGGAATGATTTGACCAGTCACGCTCTATATGAATTATTTTCATACAGACCAAACAGCATCTTTCTTCATGCATGAGACATTTGGAGTACAAGAGCAGAGTCATTTGCATGAAATACGAATATCTGATTTGGGAATACTGACGTTCTATGAAGTGGCTGCGCTTCGGGTAGTAGACCATAGGTTAAGCAATTAATTGCTTTGAGCAGCAGATCAAACTTTAAAGGTGGAAATTAGGAACATGGGCTCATGTCATGTAGTTACATTATAAGTCTTCCAACTTGCCAGTCAAATTACAAGGTGATATGAGTGTATGCATGTAGCAAACGTGACAAAAGATAATAAAGAAATGGAATACGCACATAAGAAAGATGGTAGAAGGTTAGTGAAGTTGCATCATAATAAGCCAAAATTCTGAACCTGATGATCCTGTGAGGGAAGCATGCATGTTCTAGGAAGAAAGTAACTTAAAGAGACACTATAGTCGCCAAAACAGCTTTAGCTTAATGAAGCCGTTTTGGTGTATACATCATGCCACTGCAGTTTCACTGCTCAATTCTCTGCTATTTAGGAGTTCAATAATTTTCTTTATGCAGCCTGGGCAAATCTGATTAATATCGCCCGATACCGGCACCATCTAAAAGCAACACACCCTGCCTTTCACACAGCAAAGGTGCCAGAGTCCATACATGCCTTTTTTTCACACCCCGAAACCAGAAAAACAGAAACGCAGGTCTGGGGCCTACAAAGTATCGGCCTTTTCTGGCTGGGACTTACTACTTGTCGGATCACCACTCGAAAGTGCCTTAACCGCTCCAACCCTGTCCCTGCCTGAACCCACGACCTGTACACTAACTATGAGGCGCAGAAATCAGAAGCCCTCACCCAGAACAGGGCCTGAATCCAGGGACTTAGGCACCATGCTCCAGATGCAGGCACAATCCAAGATGGTATCCGAGGAGAGTAATATCATGCCGGGCCCCTCCAGAGCCACCTGACTGCACTGAGTCCCCCTCTCATCAAGATCAAAGTGCTGCAGCAGCCACCCACTTTGACTCCTTAGTGGGAACACTAAGCAAGATCTGCAAACTCTGCTCCTAGACATACAAAACCTACTGGTAATAGTTATGGCAGTGATCAAGACAGATGTCCAGCATGTCACAGACCGTGTGAGGGCCACGGAGGAGGAAGTGACAGATATTCACACAGAGGTTTCCGGCAAGAAGGAAACGCTCAACCCAGCATATATTCACCTCCCAACTGTCTGCCCTCGTCACAGACACAACAACATAAAAATCTACGGCATTCCAGCTGCAATCACGGCCGAAGAATTGCCTCACTTTCTTTGACGTCTTGTGGCAATGGTGTTACCCCCACAGGCGGTTAAAAGATTCACCATTGACGGAATATACCGACTCCATGACTAAGCCTCTTACTGCCACCCCAAGGGATGTCTTTCTACAATGTAAATCTTCCCAAGACAAAGGGCTCCTCATGACTGCACTGCGGGGAAGATGGCATTCACATTTGAGGACTCTCAGTTATCGATGTATCAAGACCTAAGAGCTACTCTGCAATGGCGCAGATCCATTCGGAACATCACGCTTCAACTGCACTCAGCAGGAGTTATGTATAGATGGGGACACCTCAATCCCTACTGGTGACCCATAATGGAGCTGTGCACAGACTTAACTCTGCATCAGATGCACCAACATTCCTGACCACATTGGGACTTTCTGCACGACACCCCACCACGACTCACCAGACACCACAACTCACTTGGGATCCGGCAAATATAGCGCCTTTTGTGCCGGTAGCTAGAAGAGCTGAGTCTCTTAACATCTGACTAAGCTTACTGTCACTGTCTTGCCTGTTCGTGCAGCCCCTTGTTTCTTGTTATATTTTGTGTTTTGCTTTTGCATTTACATTCACAACTTTTTCTTTTACTTACCTCCCTCACACCTCTGAAGGCTCACCTTATATGACCTAACCCCTAAGGGCATTGGAGTGGGATAGACCCATCTGGCGCTTACCTGACCATAAGGGATCAGGGACCAGTTTTTACCTTAAAGGACCACTATAGTGCCAGGAAAACATACTCATTTTCCTGGCACTATAGTGCCCTGAGGGTGCCCCCACCCTCAGGGTCCCCCTCCCGCCGGGCTGGATGGAGAGGAAGGGGTGCGGGGAGCGGGGAGCTCTCCTCCTCCTCTCCTCCCTCTTCTCCTCCTCTTCGGCTGAATGCGCATGCGTGGCAGGAGCCGTGTGCGCATTCAGCCAGTCCATAAGAAAGCATTCACAATGCTTTCCTATGGACGCTGGCGTCTTCTCACTGTGAAAATTAAGCTGAAGTGGTCTGGGTGCCTATAGTGGTCCTTTAATGCTGGCAAGCAATTTATCCACCATCTCCCTCCTCCCCCCTACTGTCCCTTCAGTTAGGGGCACACCAATTCAGTGTGGTGATGTGATCCACTGCTGTCAGAAATAGAACTTTCTTGTTACCCCATGCCAAAATTCTCGCAATATCACCTGACAGCACACTAAGTGAATGCCTGTAGTTCCCTGCGGAACAATCAGCAGTTTTCTAACTCCTAAATTGCAGCGAATTGAGCAGTGAGCTATACACTAAAACTGCTTCATTAAGCTAAAGTTGTTTTGGTGATTATAGTGTCCCTTTAAAATCTGCCATAGTATGTGACATGATTGCCCTTTTTTTAATATAAGGATTTTATTCACATTTCTATGCAAGGGCTTCCTCCACCAGGTCAAGATAAAAACCTTCAGTATGAGTTCCAGAAAGCTATACATGGATATATACTGTATTCAGGAGAAAGTGAGTAAGTTCTGCATCAACCACTAAAATTCTAAATTCTGAAATCAGTGAGTCCGGGAGTCAGTACGGGTAAAGGGAAACAGCTGTGGTACATCCAGCAGTTTAGGTGTTGAAATTTGAAGCGTTCTCTGTCCCATCTGCATTTTTGTTGTTGACACCAGTTTAAGACTAATATCTCTATCTTTGTGACCTGATCTATGATGAACACCAACTCAAGCCATTGTTTATGATTTATTATCAGGTTGGACAAATAGATACGCACATTTACAGGGTTTTTGGTTTGTTTGCCTTTATCACTTTTTACTGAATTCCAACTATTGTGTAATATATCTTTCACTTTTACTATATGTAGATATTATTACTGTATAACCACTGACAGTTACAAGGTCCCCAACCAACAAGCCACTTGTAACATTTCTACTGTGGTGTGCCATTCTTTGCCGAGCATAGATGATGAACCTCTGACAAAAATAAGATTACTCGATCTTTTTTAAAAAGTGCTGAGGATGTCGTATAAACAAGTATTTACAGTAAATAATTGATATTTCCTCATTATTTGCATTCCTGTTCCAGAACCAGTATCTTTGTTTATACAATATACACAGATTAAACTTCAATATGTAAATTGTGCTGAACTCATTGACTCCTACATCTAACTTTTAACAGTGAAAAATTAAGTAACATTATTGTTCACTTCACAAAAAAAAAAGGAACATTTGATACTTTCATGATTATTTTGATGTTTTATTTGAGCTGTACTTTGTTTATACAACAAATCATAAAACAAAACCTACCCATTTTGTGATGATTCCTATAAATGTTAATACGCTAACACAATTATTGTGTCCCCTTACTATTATAATTTCAAGGATTGGAATACCAGCCCTAACAGCTTTATCATATATGCCTAGCATAACCTCAAAAAGCAGGAAGAATCTTAACTGAACATGCAAAGACAGAAAGAATTAACTGAATGGAACAGACAGAAAGTGCTGCTGACACAAACTATGGGAAGAATGGAATAGAAAGTAACTGCAGGGAGAATTATTTTGTAGCAGTAATACAAAAGCATGGAGAATGACCAGAATGCAACAGAGAAACAATGGCACGAAGTATGACCAAACGAGAAAAGAGGGACAAGAAATGGAGAATGACCAGACTAGAACAGATGGACAAGACATGGAGAATGACCAAATGAGAACAGAGGGACGAGAAATGGAGAATGACAAGACTAAAACAGAGGGATAAGACATGGAGAATGACCAAAGGAGAACAGAGGGACAAGACATGGAGAAAGACCAGACTAGAACAGAGGGACAAGACATGAAGAATTACCAAATGAGAACAGAGTGACAAGACATGGAGAATGGCCAGACTAGAACAGAGGGACAAGACATGAAGTATGACCAAATGAGAACAGAGTGACAAGACATGGAGAATGACCAGGCTAGAACAGAAGTACAAGAAATGGAGAATGACCAGACTAGAACAGATGGACATGACATGGAAAATCACCAAAGGAGAACAGAGGGAGAAGACATGGAGAAAGATCAGACTAGAACAAAGGGACAGGAAATGGAGAAAGAACAGACTAGAACAGAGTGGCAATGGCAAGGTACATGCATACTGAATAGACTGAGACTGGAATAGGTAATTTGTGCATTGACATAAGGAAAGAATAACAATAAGATCATTGATCAGGTACACGAATAACAGAGAAGAGGGAATATGTCAGCAGGAGAATGGAATAATCAAGAAGAAGGACACGTAGAATAGAACAGGGAAGAGAAAGCTAAGTTGAAATGATTTTAGGGCTTAAAGACAGTTAAGACAGAAGCGCCAATAAAATGGTGCTTATTGCTCTCACACTCTCTCATACTGGTCACTGGAAGTTCAAAATGGCACCTCATGGCAAAGAACTCTCTGAGGATCTAAAAGAATTGTTGCTCTACATAAAGTGAGCTGCAGCAACCTGGGAAAGAACATACAGTAGTTTCACAGGAGAGGCGTCACTCAGAACAGGCCTCGCCATAGTCGACCAAAGAAGTTGAGTGCACGAGTTCAGCATCATATCCAGAGGTAGTCTTTGGGAAATAGACTTATGAGTGCTGCCAGCAGTGCTGCAGAGGTTCAGCCTGTCAGTGCTCAGACCATACGCCACACACTGCATTAAATTGGTCTGCATGGCAAGAAAGTCTGCAAACAGTTTGCTGAAGACAAGCAGTCTAAGGACATCGATCATTGGAACCATGTCCTGTGGTCCGATGAGACCAAGATAAACTTATTTGGTTCAGATGGTGTCAAGCGTGTGTGGTGGCTACCAGGTAAGGAGTACAAAAACAAGTGTGTCTTGCCTACAGTCAGGCATGGTGGTGGGAGTGTCATGGTCTGGGCCTGCATAAGTGCTGCCAACACTGGGGGGCTACAGCTTATTGAGGTAACCATGAATGCCAACATGTACCGTGACATACTAAAGCAGAGCATGATCCCCTCCCCTTGGAGACTGGGCCGCAGGGCAGTATTCCAACGTGATAACGACTCCAAACATACCTCCAAGACGACTACTGCCTTGCTAAAGAAGCTGAAGGTAAAGATGATAGACTGGCTAAGCCTAAACCCTATTGAGCATCTGTGGGGCATCCTCAAACGGAAGGTAGGGGGGGCGCAAGGTCTCTAAAATCCACCAGCTAGATGGTGTCGTCATGGAGGAGTGGAAGAGGACTCCAGTGGCAACCTGTGAAGCTCTGGTGAACTCCATGCCCATGAGGGTTAAGGCAGTGCTGGAAAATAATGGTGACCACACAAAACATTGACACTTTGGGCCCAATTTGGACATTTCCACTTACGGGTGTACTCACTTTTGTTGCCAACGGTTTAGACATTAATAGCTGTGTGTTTGTGTGTTATTTTGAGGGGACAGCACATTTACACTGTTATGCAGGCTGCACACTTACTACTTTACATTGTAGCAGAGTGCCATTTCTTCAGTGTTGTCACATGAAAAGATATAATACAATATTTACAAAAATGTGTACTCACTTTTGTGAGATACTGTATATTCACAAAATGTTTAGGACACAATTCTTACAAATCATTTTGTCAATCACTCACCCATTAACTGCAGTAGCCTCTGCTGTGGGTTCGAATCTTACACGAGACATTTTAGCTGGAGATTAAATGTTGGAAATCTAAACAAATTAGAAAAATAGCGATGTAAACTTTGCACATAAAAATGAACAACTAAGATAACAGCAGATGGGAATATGCCCCCATACAGGAAAATACAAAATAACACTAAATATAACATCGTAACAATTTCTAAATCACGTATTTATAGTTTTAAACAGAGAGTAAACATAGTTTCTGTCGACAAGACAGCTTTTTATTTTGCCATCAGCTGATCCTACACATTGTACTTATATCAAACTAATTCAGTAATTCCATCTATAAATGAGAGATGATTTAATCTGCATTGTGATAAACTCTCTCATACATCTATACGTAATCTTAAAAAAACGGTATGACTTGCCAGAAATCAAAAGTGCATTTAAAATAATAGTTCTAAAAGCCAAATTGTTAAAAAATTGCCTAAAATTTGAAATTCACTGTCAAATTCCTTAGAATTCCCATGTTAGTGAATGACCCTGAGATGTGTACAAAATAAAAATACTTTTAGATTTCAGTAAAAAAAAATACAGTATGGAAAAGTTTACAAGTATACATAAATTTAAAAAACTGTATAAAATGTACAAATTCATGTTTTCCCATTTAGAAGTTAAATAAGGAATTGCAATTAAAAAAAAAAGTAACATAATTAAGGTTTCAGTCAATTCTATTAATATTTATCTAGGTCAGGGGAAGTCAAACTTTTAATACCTAACGCCCACTTTTGTATCTTTTTGATGGTAAAATTTCCTTACCACCCACCAGTGCAGCAGTAATATGTGCTTACATTTATCTTTTTTTTTCTATTTTCTATTCTACTTTTTTTTCTATGTGTGAGCTGTGTGTGTTTGTGTGTGAATGGTGTACTGTGTGTGTGAGGGGGCAGTGTGTGTGAAGGGTGCTGTGTGAGGCGTGCTGTGTGTGTGTGTGAAGAGTGCTGTGTGTGTGTGTGTGTGTGAAGGGTGCTGTGTGTGTGTGTGAATGGTGTAGTGTGTTTGTGTGAAGGGTTCTGTGTGTGAGAGGGGCAGTGTGTGTGAGAGGGGCAGTGTGTGGGTGGGGGGTGCAGTGTGTGTGTGTGGGGGGTGCGGTGTGTGTGTGAAGGGTGCAGTGTGTGTAAAGGGTGCAGTTTGTGTGTGTGAAGGGTGCAGTGTGCATGTGTGTGAAGGGTGCTGTGTGCATGTGTGTGAAGGGTTCTGTGTTTGAAAAGGGCGCTGTGTGTAAGAAGGGTGTTGTGTGTGTGAGAAGGATGCTGTGTGTGTGTCAGAGGTTCTGTGTGTGTGTCTGACGGGTGCATAGGGTCTATACTGTGTGTAGGTGGGTGAGATGTAAAAATCTATCTTAATGTCTCCCCTCCCTTCTTCGTAGATTTTACCAGGGAGGGGGGCATGGGTCGGCAGGGTAGATGAAAGAATCTCCCCTGTCGGCCTTGGTCCATGGCCATCAAAGCCCACTGGGCGTTTCCTGCAGAACCCACCACCGCCCACCTGAAATCCCAAACCGCCCACTAGTGGGCGGTAGGGACCAGGTTGACTACCCCTGATCTAGGTTGTGAAATAGATTATTTTATAACTAGCACCTTCTTGTAAGGCTGTCTTTACATGCTTCTCAAGTGCCATCTCTCTCATCCTGACTTCACAGGACACCACGTCACCGGATGTTGTGTAAAATCACAGGGAGTGACATAAGAGAAAAAAAAACACATGGAGGGGGGAAATTCCCTAAATCTAGAAAAACAACTACTGACAATGAGAGTGTTACGGCTGAGTGTATGTGTAGCATTCTGGCTCCATTTCTCTCACCAATCTCCCAGAGCCCAGTCAGAGAAAAATACTGTAAACAATTCAATAAAAGAAAATCAAATAAATGAGCCAAAATGTCACAATTTCATCCCTCCTTTGCTAATTAAAAATACAATACAAAGGAATCTGGCAACGACTCAGGTGTATACCATTACCACATAAATTAATTTGCAAAATAAAACTGAAGTGGTAATTGCGCTCAAAATAAATAAATATAACCTTAAAATAAACTAATAAAGTGTAAAACACTTTTAAACTTTATCGTAACAGACAGTATCAAACTATGCCGTATTTTTACTGTATTTGCATGAGGAATCGGAGAGAATCGGAGCAGTGATGGCTGTTTCGTGAATCTGCCCTCTTGGGAAATCCTCTTTTAGTGTTTGCTGGAGCTAAACATAAGATTCTTGAGAGGATGCTATTACTATAAACACTTTTGCAACACGTTGATACATTCGCTATGTCTTTTTTTCCCATTGAAGTATAAAGAAAACAGTGAAGACAGTGTATCGCAGGATTCCTGTATCCTTTCATGCAGTCATCTGGTCTTTTAGTTTGAACTTCTTTATATCTATTGGAATTGTATTCACATAGCTGTTTGGGATTTTAGTACTGTCATTGACTTATTTTAAGGTTATCTTACTTTCTTTTAATGGACATTTATATTGACGCTTTATTTGGCATATGAATTTATGTGATAGTTGTATATACCAGAAACGCTGCCAGATTCTTTTTTTTATTGCCTTAAAGAAAAATACCAGCCTTTCCATTGCTGGTATTTTTGCAATTCCATCACTGGCCAGAGAGCCTCAAATACCATCTGTGATATTTAAATACCGTCCAGGGGCAACCCTAGTATCAGAGAGCTCAGCAGCAATAAGACCCAAAGTCATGTGCAGATCTGGATTACAGGCTTCTTGGGCCTGGAGCTGAAATTTAACATTTGTATTTCTGGTCTCATGCCCCTTTCCTCCGTCTGCAACTAGACTTTGGAAATTTCAAGCATATAAAATGTATCTTCACGAGCAAATGGAGTTATAGAGGAATTTGCTGAGATAGCAAGGGATAATAAGGGTCATAGGCCATCCTACGAAACATTGAGCACCTTCCCTGCCCCGGTTATGGGCCAGGGAAAACTATGTACAATATGTTTGGAGAAGTGATATAGGCCATCCCATGAGTCATTGAGCGCAGGGGACCCATTATACAGTTACGAGGCAGAGCAGGTCTATATTTAATGTGTTGGAGGAGAGATATAGGTCATGAATGAAAAAGAAAAAAGAAAAAAACTACCAATAGGTGTCTCAACATCATGATCAATATTGTCACAGTTGGAATGAACGTTAAAATATAACTTTTAATAGATGTACTAAAAAGTAGAAATATGAAAAAATACATGTTAAAAACAAAAAGCACAAGGCTAAATCTATGTCCTGTGATCTAGCTTAGGCTAAACACTGAACCCTCCAATAGCAAATGTAGCAAAGAGAGTATCAGTGAGAAAAAAGATACTTTGTAAATCAGAGTATATCACTTGCTGCAAGATGCGTAGCAAGAATGATAGGGGGGAGCACAGAGTACATCTATACTCTAGACCAGGGGTAGTCAACCTTTTAATACCTACCGCCCACTTTTGTATCTTTGTTGATGGTAAAATTTCCTTACCACCCACCATGCTGCAGTAATTTTATAGCGCAGTTTTGTTTTGTTTGTTTTTTAGAAAGGATCGGTTTTTTTTTCAAATATGTGCTTACATTTATCATTTTTTTTACTATTTTATATTCTACTTTTTTTTCTATGTGTGTCTGTGAGGTGCTGTTTGTGTTTGTGTGTGAATGGTGTAGTGTGTGTGTGAGGGGGCAGTGTGTGTGTGAAGGGTGCTGTGTGAGGTGTGCTATGTGTGTGTGTGAAGGGTGCTGTGTGTGTGTGTGAAGGGTGTAGTGTGTTTGTGTGAAGGGTTCTGTGCGTGAGAGGGGCAGTGTGTGTGAGAGGAGCAGTGTGTGGGTGGGGGGTGCAGTGTGTGTGTGTGTGAAGGGTGCAGTGTGTGTGTGTGTGTGTGTGTGTGAAGGGGTGCAGTGTGTGTGTGTGTGTGTGTGTGTGAAGGGTGCAGTGTGTGTGTGTAAAGGGTGCAGTGTGTGTGTGTGAAGGGTGCAGTGTGCATGTGTGTGGAGGGTGCTGTGTTTGAAAAGGGCGCTGTGTGTGAGAAGGGTGTTGTGTGTGTGAGAAAGATGCTGTGTGTGTGTCAGAGGTTCTGTGTGTGTGTGAGGGGGCGGTGTAGTGTGTATGTGTGACGGGTGCATAGGGTCTATACTGTGTGTAGGTGGGTGAGATGTAAAAATCTATCTTAATGTCTCCCCTCCCTTCTTCAATACCGATATCCACAACAATACCATACCTCACAACTTTATCTTATTCACTAAACATTGATTAGCAAATCGTATTGAAAAATACATTGAAAAAGAAAAAAGTTAGACTAGCAAAAAACCAATATGTGACCATGGCTGAAACAATTTTTGCAAATCCAAATGTTGTACTATTTTGCAGTTTAGTTTCCAATTCACTGTAATTCAGTGTGCTGAGTCAGTTCATGTTCGAATAAATGTAGTAATTCAGGTAAAAATAGACAGGTTTTTAATGTAGTAATGATTTAAATATTTTTGTAAATTGTTTTGTTTTAGCAAAATACAAACACACTTGGTTTGCAATTAAAAGGGCCCTTTAGCAGAGCTTTTCCTCTCAGAATTCTTAGAATTATGAGGGTTATTTACTCAAGTGACTATTTAAAGTGAATTTAAGACCATAGTAGTCGAATGGAAAGCATAGCTGGTTAAGATATTTTTTCCAGCTTGGTCATTTTGGTCTAAAACTTGAAATTCACTTTGAATTGTCACTTTAGTAAATAGTCCTGGATATAATAATAATAATAATAATAATAATAATATTAGTAATAACAAAGTATTTAACCAGGAAAGGAACATTCAGATTAATCTGGTTTTCAAGCACGTCCTGGGGATGTTACCTTAGCCCAACATCCAAGGGTTGTTACTATTACCCAATTTAATGGTACTCATTTTATCTACCTCGGAAGGATGAAGGGCTGAGTCAACCCTGCCGGGATTCGAATCTGCGACCCAAGGGTTGAACATGTTCTGATTTCATTTTGTTACAATTTTGGACTTTAATGGAAAGAAACTAATTAGGGGGATTAGAGTGTCACTATAAATGCTATCCAGGCAACTTAAAAAAACAATTGCTAAATTCTTTCACATGTTAAGAAGGTTTTGTATCATATATCGCTATTTGAATTTAATGGATAACATCAGCTTTTCCAAAGTTTGGTAAATTCCTAACCTGTTAAATCCAGAGTCTCTGCTCTTTGGACCTGGTTTACAATATTCAGATTGGATTTTAACACTCTCTGACTCATATGAATGAACAAGACATGATCTTACATACATAGCTGAGCACTTTCATTGTCTGATCACTCACACACTTCCCTATCTTAAATCCTGTGTGACAACCCTTGTGCACTGTGCTGACATGCAGCATTCAAGCTACACATGTACACAGGATGGGGCTATGCATAAAAGGCTGACTCTGCAGTATCCAACTCAAAGCAATCATTTAAGAAATTAAAGGCAATTCAGATCCTAAAATTCAGTTGACATTCTCCACATTTACAGTCCTCTTAATTAAGCAAATGAAACTCTGAATTGATATGTCTGAATACATGTCAATTGGTCCCAAATTGTCAGGATGTGGGGAAAGTAATGGAGAGAGGGAACTGCACTTTCTCCCATTCCTGCCCCCATCTCTTGTGTGTTAAAACAAGGAACATTTAATAATTTGGGACAGCAGGCCCGCCTGTTAGAAAGAAACCAGCATTGTGAAAGTGATTTGAAAAATCAGTTCAAACTGTCCTATGGTGAGCATGCATTTGGGAGGGGAAGAGAGTGAGTGGAGATAACCTAATGTGGAATTAGCATGGGGCATACCACCCAATGGAGTCCTTGCATCCACTAACTACTTTCAGCCTATCAGAGCTGTCAATTGTTGGTATGAATTGGTATAGCTTAAAGGGACACTATAGTATTTAAACCACTTTAGCTTAATGAGGCAGTTTTGGTGTATAGATCATGTCCCTGCAGTCTTACTGCTCAATTCTCTGCCATTTAAGAGTTAAATTACTTTTGTTTCTGTCCATGCAACCCTAGCCCCCTCTGATTGTAACTAACACAGCTTGCATGAAAAAAACACTTCCAATCAGATGTTAACTTGCTTTAGAAGTTGTTATTTTCTGCTTTATCACACACAGGTGGCTCCTGAGGTTCTAGAAAGCTATTAACAGAGCAGGAGCAAATACATTTTAAATTTTAGGAAAACTGTGCAATAAAGAAAGTTAACCCCTTAAGGACCAAGCTTCTGGAATAAAAGGGAATCATGACATGTCACACATGTTATGTGTCCTTAAGGGGTTAAACACTAGATTTCTCTTTTTTAGGAAGTGCTTAGGAATGCTGTGCAAGTCACATGCATGGAGCTGTGACTAGGGGTGTATAGACAAAGTGACAGAGAATTGAGCAGTGAGCAGTGAGACTGCACGGGCATGATCTGTACACCAGCACTGCTTCATTAAGCTAAAGTTGTTTTGGTGCCTATAGTGTCTCTTTAACCTCTAATGGGGACTGTAACGGATTGCCTGCTACCCCGACTTGGTACCTCCATTGATGGATTCTCCTAGTGCTTCCTGAGGGCTCCAAGCACTCCGCCAGACACCATAACCACCGCAGACCTCCCGAACCGCCGCAGCTTGGTTGGGGTCTCTCCGTCTCCTACCCACCCTGGACCTACAACAAGGCTCCAGGCTCCAGTGAAGCAGGAACAGGAGTGAAGCAGGAACAGGAACTATACAAACGTCGGCCACCCGTCGTTCGACACTTAACCTGCGGTTAACCACTAGCCTGGGAGGTAAATTGGCTGCACACTCCACTTGTGTGTGGTCTGCCTGTTCGGTAATTGGTTCGGTAAGCCCCATTTACCAAACCATAAGGGAAAAGGACACGAACAAAGTATTGTCACAGTCTGGGGACATGGTTTTAAAGGGACATTTTCCCAAAAAGTCTCAGTATGGCCATATAATGTTTTTAAAGGGCCATACAACCCAGGACCATAGTCATAAGGCAGGAGGCAGGCAATCAGGCTCCTCCAAAAACCAGTGACAAAGGGCAGTTTGTCACAGGGACCAAGCTGCAGGTGGCAAGGGACCACCATTTATAGTCAAAGTGTCTTAAAATGGTTTAACACTGATCAAAGGGCCGTGTCAAGGGACAGTAGGTACCATAACAACTTCAATGGCATGACGTTGTTATAGTGCCTAGAGTGTACATTATATGTTGTACAATAGAAACTGACAGTAGGAGCTAACAGTAGCATTTTAGCGTTTACCAACTTGGCGCTAAATGACTTTGATAATCATTAAAATAAGCCCTAATTTAGTGCCAATTACCCTGGTATTATCAACTAATATGCTGTCTGTTTCTTCTGATTTTATGTAGTCCTCCAAAATGTGTTTACACCAGCAGCCACAACATCAGTGACTGTCAGCCACAGTCAGTAAACAGAGTGCCAAGGCACATGTCTGAATCCCTATAATAGCCCAATTCACAAGAGATACCAGCATGATAAAACATATACAATATTAAAAAAAAAGGTGGTTGGGCTCTTCTTGTTATTATGTTCTTTTTTTAACAATATAATATACATAACTGGGATTCCATGGCCAGGTAAGGACAAAGCAGAATTCTAAACACCTGTTTAACACAGACAAACACACACAGTGCTATCTCTCTAGGTGAATTGTTACTAAACAAATATAAAGATTAAACAGTCAAGCAATACAATGTAAATCCATCCATTTTCTAATCATGTCAGTTTACACTAACAAAGTAACAGAGGGACATCTCAATACAGGTCGCGTACATCTACATACAAACACAAAGGATATAGGTAGCAGAAACTGGAGTACAATTTAGAATTAGCTTTACTTTAAGAAATCATCAACTTCCTAATAGAATCTATGGAACGTAAGTATATGACGGTTGAAGTTACTTACAGAACAAATGATAGAGGCGATTGGATCAGGCTGGTATTGGGTGAAGATCATACAGTTTCATGCGTTCATTATTATAAGACCAGTCAGTCAATAGAGATCAAAGCAAGTCATTTGTTTTATGAAAGGAAGGGAAACTAAACATGAGTCTTTTCTTCCAGTAGGCAGCTATCATGTCATCTATGTTGCATAAATCAACAAATATCCTTGCCATTCTAGGTCAAATGACACTTGCAGAGTAATTCCCTGTAATCATGTGTACAATGAACAGACAGTTCTGTTTACCTGCCTGTAAAAACAATACTCGGAGTAATTGTAAAGTGGAGTAATGAGAGACTGGAAACATTACTAGCTGCATTCAATAAACTTCTAGATATAAAGTGCTGTGTAATATCCACTAGGGTCATTCATTATTCTGGGAATTGTGATTATTTAGTTAAAAATAGATGAGCTGGAAAGTTAGGAGGGCTGGAGAAAATTTACAACTGAACAATTTTTGCTTAGAGGGACATTCCACTGTTCCAAAAAAAAAAAAATAATAATAAAAAAAAAACCTTAACCCGCACCCCCTCCCCCACACTATTTAGAAAATTTATCATTAATGAAAACATGCATAATTTTAGTTATGCATTTTCCATCAGGTATATTTAAAAGCAATTTGCAGATTTTTTTGTCTTCCATTGCCTTCTTTCTCAGTCCAGCCTTTCAATGGCCAGGGTCGGCATCAGGGGGGTACAGCGTGACCGGGCCCTTTACCACCAATGTGCATATATATCTACATAGCAAGTGCTGCTATATATATGCACGTACAGGGCCCTGCTGTCTCCTATGATGAAGAAGGGGCCCAGGAAACACCATGTTCCACCTCCAGTAGTCTCCTCTCGTGAGCCGCTGCTGTCAGAGCATTGCCAAGGATTGCCATGGCAATGCACCACATGAAACGCAATGCATGCTGGGCTCGCGAGAGAAAGACAGGACCTGGCTGCCGGAGGTGGAAGATGAGACTCCTGCTCACCCTCTTCACTATACAAGCTACTGTGCCACTGGACCACCAGGAAATCTTGTCGTCCCCCCCCACCTACCTGGTCACTGATAAAAGGCAGGAAGAGGGGAATATACTTAATTATCCATTTTAAAAAAAAAACTTCTCACCTCCACCCCAACAGCCCTTATCCAACACCACAAACATAAACAGATACACACATTGCATCTACTACACACACTGCATCCATTATGCATACTGCATCCACTATACACACACTCTGCATTTACTATACACACACATACTGTTTGCATCCACTATATACCCACACACTACATCGACTTTATTAATCCTTGTGGGCAAACACTGAGGTGGACCCCATGTGCAGACTCGAGAGCAAGCACTGGAAGCCCAGACATTGATCTGTGTAAGGGGCCCCAAAATTTCTTATGGCAGCCCTATCTGTAACTATCCAATCACAGACTTCACAATGCAACTCAATGAGATTAATTTGCAAGACAGGTGCTCTGCGCAATTTTTCTAAGCTTTTTTCCTCCTCGCTCAAGCCCCGCCTCTTTGCTGAGATCATCATAATGAATTATCTCAACCAATACAATGCTTTCTTTCTGAGCCCATTTTTCAGAATGACAGGGAGGTATAGCTCCTCTTCAGTTAGTTCCACAAATGTATATGTATTTTTATTCATCATCTTTGTGAAAGATTGTCCCTGAGGAAGTCCCTAACAGGGAAGAAACGCGTTGGACTGATTTACCTGCTTTTATTTACTTTGATGTAAGTAATAAATGCTTTTTTTACTCTTTACTCAAACAGTCATTCAATCTATATTTTTTTTGCACTTTGTTTTTTATGTGAGATCCACATTTACCAAGTATCTGAAGTAAAGAAGACACAGCATATTTCTGAAAGCACTTCTTGGGATGTTAAAGTGTGAGTGAGCATTTGTCACTTACCCATATACCCAATCTCAGTATATACAGTATTGCACTATGCCATATATTTTCTGTTTCCCTAGCTTGGAATAGCCCTATATCATATGCAGTTCCACAAATGTAACAGAAGTGACAGGCGCACTGTGCTACAGTACACCTGCCTGCCTTAATTCTCAATTAGCTATATTACACCTCATTGAAAAGCGTAAAGCCTCGATTGGTGTATTCCAGACTAAAAGTCTGTGTCGGGTAAGAGGTGGGGGCTCTCAAAGACTGCAACAACAGGTCTGCAGTTTCTGCAAGCTGTTTTTTATATATGCACAAAAAAATCACGCTGAAAAATTGAGTATGCATGTTTAAATACATTTTTTAATAATTGGAAGTTTACTAAATACAGTTATCCCCAACTAAATAGAGGCAAAAGCGTATCTTGTTTAGCTAAATTGCAAAGGTTGTGATAGGATTCTAAGATTGGATTTATTAAGAATATTACCCAATGGGGAAGAGGGGAGGGGCATACAGGAAAAACATAGCAAATGTGAAAAACTTGGAGAAGAAACAAACGACTGAGATGTGGTAAGGGAGATTTAAATGGAAAAAATGGCAATGACTTCTCCTCAATTTGGTCCCTTTAAAGGGATACTCCCTCTATGTCCCTGCAGGCATATTATTAGAAGTGCCACCATTATTAGAAGTAACAGGCTGGGTTTACAGACTCAAACCCATTGAACTGTAGTTCAGAACAGAAGAAAATGCTTTAATTTTCTTGTGTTTTGAACTAAATTTAAAGAAAGACAACTGTTGCGCATGTGACGCAATACTTCTCAGAAGCATCTGATTGGACACAAGTTGCCAATACCAATGACCTCACAGAAGGAGGATTGGAGCTACAACAAGGAGACTTTCGCAGAGCTGAAATAAAGGTTGATTCCCTGAGAGAGCTGAAATAAAGGGTGTCCCCTGTAATTTACAATCAAAAGGAACACATCTAGTTAAATAAATATAAGTATATATATATTTTTTTAATGTAGTGTTCTTTTAAGTATATTGTAACACAGATCATAGATGTGTGCAAACATGGCCAACTATAAAAAATCTGTCTTGCATTGTAGATTCATAAGCTTTAATTGTACACCAGGGTTGGGGCATATATTAACTAGTCACAACTAGTCACAACCAAAAACAAATAAAACAAAAATATCATAAAACATTTATTGCATCTGGTACTCTGGGGATATGTGTCTCTGAGTATATCTGTGTGTCTGTGGATTGATGTGTCTCTGAGTACATTTTTGTGTCTGTGGACTGATGTGTCTCTGAGTATATATGTGTGTCTGTGGATTGATGTATCTCTGAGTATATCTGTGTGTCTGTGGATTGGTGTGTCTCTGAGTACATCTATGTGTCTGTGGATTGATGTGTCTCTGAGTACATGTGTGTCTGTGGATTGATGTGTCTGAGTACATCTGTGTGTCTGTGGATTGATGTGTTTCTGAGTACATCTATGTGTCTATGGATTGATGTGTCTGTGAGTATATGTGTGTCTGTGGATTGATGTGTTTCTGAGTACATCTGTGTGTCTGTGGATTGATGTGTCTCTGAGTATGTCTGTGTGTCTGTGGGTTGATGTATCTCTGATTATTTCTGTGTGTCTGTGGATTGATGTGTCTTTGAGTATATATGTGTGTCTGTGGATTGATGTGTCTCTGAGTATATCTGTGTGTCTGTGGATTGATGTATCTCTGAGTATATCTATGTGTCTGTGGATTGATGTGTTTCTGAGTATATCTGTGTGTCTGTGGATTGATGTGTCTTTGAGTATATCTGTGTGTCTGTGGATTGATGTCTCTCTGAATATATCTGTGTGTCTGTTGACTGATGTGTCTCTGCGTATATCTGTGTGCCTGTGGACTGATGTGTCTCTTAGTATAGCTGTGTGTCTGTGGATTGATGTGTTTCTGAGTATATCTGTGTGTCTGTGGATTGATATGTCTCTGAGTATATCTGTGTGTCTGTGGATTGATGTGTCTCTGAGAATATCTGTGTGTATGTGAATTAATCTGTCTCTTAGCATATCTGTGTATCTGTGGATTGATGTGTTTCTGAGTATATCTGTGTGTCTGTGGATCGATGTCTCCTTGAATATATCTGTGTGTCTGTTGATTGATGTGTCTCTGCGTATATCTGTGTGCCTGTGGATTGATGTGTCTCTTAGTATATCTGTGTGTCTGTGGATTGATGTGTTTCTGAGTATATCTGTGTGTCTGTGGATTGATGTGTCTCTGAGAATATCTGTGTGTATGTGAATTAATCTGTCTCTTAGTATATCTGTGTGTCTGTGGATTGGTGTGTCTCTGAGTATATCTGTGTGTCTGTGGATTGATGTGTCTCTGAGAATATCTGTGTGTATGTAAATTGATTCGTCTCTTAGTATATCTGTGTGTCTGTGGATTGGTGTGTCTCTGAGAATATCTGTGTGTATGTAAATTGATTCGTGTCTTAGTATATCTGTGTGTCTGTGGATTGGTGTGTCTCTGAGAATATCTGTGTGTATGTAAATTGATTCGTCTCTTAGTATATCTGTGTGTCTGTAGATTGGTGTGTCTCTGAATACATCTGTGTGTCTGTGGATTGGTGTGTCTCTGAGTACATCTGTGTGTCTGTGTATTGATGTGTCTCTGAGTATATCTGTGTGTCTGTGGATTGGTTTGTCTCTGAGTACATCTGTGTGTCTGTGTACTGATGTGTCTCTGAGTGTGAGTCTGTCCATTCTAAGTGAGTGAGTGTGAGTCTATCCTTTCTAAGTGAATGATTAGTGTGAAGCTGTGCTATTTCTGTGCTGAATGGTGTCCTACCTGCAATGAATCCGTCTAGCTATATCTTGCCCCAGTTCATCAATAAATGAAGTTACAGTATCAGGGAGGCTGCATCCAGCTGTCTCCGGCTCCCTGTCCTGCTCACATTACTAGAATGGACTTGCTCAGAGAGGAAGGACCAGAAACCAGTAAACTGTGTGGGGAGGGTTTGGAGATAAACACCATTCTTTTCTTACCTGTGTGAAGTCTCCTCCTTGTATTTTACAATCTCATTACAATCCCCTGTATTCTCCTTCTTCCAGTTGGTTTCCCCTCCTCCCCCTTTCTCCTGTGTTTCCCCCTTCCTCCCATTTTCCAGTATCTCCCTCTTCCTCTAAGTTTTCCTCCCCCTGTCCTCCTTTGCAGACGAAGCAGATTTACTTCCTGAGCTGACTGTGAACTATGGTTGAAAAAAGCTGACTTTTGGGAGTTCTGCCTGAATGTTTTTCTAAGAAGTTTCAGCTGCAAAGTTTGTGTTCTGAAACCAAGGATCTGCAGATGGCATTAGAATACATCTCCCATCACCTTCAGCCACTGAAACTGGACGTGCAAAGAATCTGTACATTGTGTGGGAAGAACAAATTTATTGGTTAAAAATATAATGGGAATTATTCTCTAAATAGTGAATTGAAAAGTAAACTAAACATTTTATGCTTACAATCTTTAGGCTGAATGTTGCTATTCAGTGTTTAAGTCACCACGATTCACTATTTGGAGGGTTATTCACTACAGTGAGAATTGTCAGGAAATGTAAGTGAATTTGAAATTTAAAGCCAAAATAGCAGAACCAGAAAAAATCTCTGCACAGCTATGATTCTAGTTCATCTTCTTTGGCCTTAAATTTTAAATCCACTTTGAATTTCAAACAATTCTCCCTTTAATGAATAACCCTGTTAATGAATCAACCTAGTTAAGGTTAATCACTGAGATGGGAATTTCAATCTTTGGGCCAAAAAAAGGCACACTGAAAACATTGCTGACTCGGGAGAATATTTTTTCCTATTCAGCTCTAATATGTGAACTTCTCTTTGAATTCCCAATTCCCACATTACCGGAAAACCCTGAATAGTGTAAGTTGCTGGGTTATAGATACAGGGTGAGGCAAATGTATTTTGTAGGGACACTAAAGTTACCCAGACCATTTCATCTAAATACGGTGGTCTTGGTGCAGTGGTCCTGTACAATCATTGTATGATTAAATGTCCATCTCTTGGTTGTCTTCCTGACTGCTACTACAGGACGCTTTCACTTCCAGAAACAAATCAGACTCAGTCCTGCAATCAAATGCAGTTCATAAGTCTAAAAAGGTTTGGGGTCGGGGGTTGAGGAGACAAGAGAAAAGGAACCCTTAATGGTCAACTGAGGGATGCAATAAGTGACAGAGCCGCTTTAAATGTTAAAGGGACACTACAACCCCCTAAAGTAGTTTAGCTTACTGAAAAGCTTTAGGTGTGAAGAGCGTGTCCTCTTTTTTTCATTTTGCAAAAGTAGATTTCATTAGAAACTAACACTTTTCTAAATTAACCTGGTTACACCCCCTTGGCTTTTAAGCAGATAACAGATCCTGTTACTTCCTGGTTTGGTTAGCTCAGTGGAGCTAAACTCACGAGTTACCAATTGCTCAGAGCATCTGCCTTCTCATTGAGCTGCACTGGAAAGTCTGTGATTGGTCAGCCTCAAAAAGTCTGGGCAGGGTTAAAAGAGGATGGCTTGCAAAGTCAGCAGACGAGATCTGCGGTTTTTGCAAGCCGCTTTTATATATACTCCCAATGTAAAAATGCATAATTAAATGCATACAAGTTTTCATTTGGGCTATAAATACTAAACTGTGGTTTTTATTTTGTGTTTGGGCAGTGGAGTGACCCTTTAACAGCTCAAAAGCACAGGAAGAAAAGTCAGAATGTAATGATAAAATATAAAAAATACAAAATGATAGTTGTGTAACACTTTTAACACATAAAATAACTAAAGTACAGTGTGATTTACAGCATGATTAACCACTGAGATTAAGAAAGGGCCACATTAAACACACCTAACCCCTTTCAATACAAAGACAATGGACAGTAAGATCAATATTGGAGTGCATGAAGGCAATACGTATCTATTGTTGACTCCTGTTTATTTAAGGTATTATTCAACAAAGGTGTCAGAAAGCAGGGATTTCTTTTTATCAGGAGAGATTTAGCAAATAAAAGCCTGAGAGGGAAGGGGAATTAGAGGATAGATTTTTTTTTTTTTTTTTAATGCAGAAGAGAAGAATAGGGGTAAAAGACTAATGGAAAGAGGGAAATTTACATTTTGGGAATGGAGGAGCACAAATTGAGCGGATGTTGTAAATACATTTTTCATGGGCTAAAAAAATATTAATGCAAAAGTAACCTTTTGGTATAGAGATTATTGAAAAGAAAACAGAGATAAAGGGTAGATATCAGTTTTCTGAGGTGACTCATAACTCCCAACTGTCCCTATTTAAAATGCACAGTCCCTATTTTGGGCCCAAATCTCTCTGTCCCTGTTTTCTATCCTAATGTCCCTCTTTTACGAAGATCTTTATATTATTGGTGTGTCCGAGTATGTTACAGAGCTCCACTGCAATAATACTCACGGTAATGTGTTTTAAATATGTTTATTGGTATCGTGTCTTGATTTCACACATCAGACAGATTCTCATTGAAGCGAACAGTCGCCTACGCAGAGGCTTAAGTATCGGTTTTTAAGGGTAAATGCAGATTATCACCTGCGCAGAGGCGAATTGATCAGAACATATGAACGTACATAAACTTTTTGTATGTATTACAACACAGACTGCACATAATGAACTAATGTATCATAGTAGGCTAGCTTCACGTGGGTGTTAAGCTTCATGGTTATGTATCTTATAGCAGCGCTTTGTGGGCTTGAACACTAATATGTTTGGAGATATAAAGAAAACTAATTAAAAAACCCCCCCAAAAAACCCTGTATGCATTGTATATAAGCTCATATATCTGCTTAAACGTGTGGAACGGTATGGGCCGTTGCATGAATGGGCGCTCTAATATATCCCTAGTCACTTTTAGACTAAAGGCTGCATGTTCCGACATATAGTGCAGTTAATATACTGAGCAAGTATGCTGGTGCGTAGCTTGGTATGCGCGCATATTATTCCTGTCTGAAGCCTTGGCATGTAAGTATCCATTGTGCATTGCAGCAATCATGCAATATTAGGTAGGCAAAGGGCATGAGCATCATCTGATAGATGCGTAAAGGTTGGCTATCGGCTATTTACTCAGGTAATTTAACTTAATCAGTGGTTGGCATGCAGTCCCTGCAGTATCATTGTAATCACATGTTAAGGCCTTTGTTGTATAGTGCGTGTCGCTCAGTGACATCATGCAGAGGTCTAGGGTGTACGTATCAGAGCATAAAAATAAAAAAAACCCTCCCCACCCCCCCTCCCCATATATGTATACACAGTAAGGCAGGTAAGATACAGTAGAGTAGAAAAAAGGATTTCACCAAACGTAAAAAGCAAGGCTGGGTATAACTTGTGCGGGCGCTGTATGGCAGTCTGAGGGAGGCCTCACATGTCTCAGCTGCGGTGCAGTCCTCAGGTCGCCGTGCCTCCGCCCGTTTTTTCCACATCGGCCCCCGCCCACCGGCCGGCTCTTCCGCGGTACTGTGGGCACTCAGGGGCTGATATTATCCACTGGACCCCACCACAAAGTCTGTGGCCTTCCCACCCCCTGCACCTCCCCAGCATCCCTTTGTTCCCCATGGAGTGGGCACCCCTGTGTCTCTCCCAATGTCGGCCTCACACTTAATGCTGGTACACTAGCCCCCCGGCCACCGGTCCGCCGGCAGGTCAGCGCACTCCCGCCTCACAGGGCTCACGACAGTGGGGACAGGATTCTCCGGGGACCATCCTTACCCGGAGATCGGGGTACCCACTGCTCCGGTCGGCGTGTGAGCCGCGCGGGTGTTCCGCCCGGCGTTCAGCGTTGTCTGGGCCTGCCCAAGCTGCCCATGTCAGTCCCTCATGTTAAGTTGCGCTGCGGCCCTCTGGGTGAGTGAAGCTGTATTGAAGCGCCTCCGAATCAGTGTCAGTTCCCGATCATCTCATCCAGGCTCTTAGCGGGCCTTTTTTTCAGGCAATGAGCAGTTTGGGATCTGTATGTCCCTCTACCAGTGCTTTCTTTTCCCCTCCGTGTCTGTGTCTTCTTCTGCTGGCTTGCTGGTCCTTCCACAGCCTTTGCCAGTGTAGTCACGGGTCGCCGCCATATGGCCGGGATAACCCCCGCCAGCCAAGGGGGGAGGGGGGCCGGCGCCGCACCCAGGGCCTGGGGTGAGCCTCCACCCAGGGGTTTCATGGGGTTTCTCGGGGGTTGTGCCTCTTTGCGGCTTCTTGTTGCGTGTTGCGGCCGCGGGCGGTTTTGTGCTCTGCCATGTGTAGGCCGCGTCCGTCCTCTGTTGCTGGCCCGGCTTGCGATATGTTTAATGTCGGCGGCTGCGATGTGCCGGAGTCGCTCCCTGTGCATTGCTGTCGTGATGTTCGACTTTTAAGCAGCCAGGACTGGTTTTGTACGCCTTTTGACTTGGGTTAGTGCTGGAGCCCATGTACATGGCGTCCAGTCGGCCCGGCGGCCCGGCCCCGCCCCCTCACAGTAATGTGTGTTTAAACTATGATAAATGTGTTTAGAAATCAGTCTTAGTAAATTAGAAACAGGGATGTGGGATGTGATGTTGCATCAGTTAGGAGCTGGGCAATGAGTGCAGAGAGATCTCAGCAGTCTCCTACTACTGGACTCTAAGGATAAGGTCCCACCCCATCTCCCTTTCAACTGTAAAAAAAGGGAGGCTGGGTCGACCTCATAGTTAAAAATAAATACACAAAATTAAATTTAAGTGTGAATGAGAACTCCAATAAGCAAAATATTAACAGCTTCAACATGGATGCTGTCCAGGAGGTGGGAGGATCTGGGAGGGAGGGTCTGCTGGAGATTGGCCAGGATGTGTCAGCTGACCGGAGTTCGCCGCGAACGGCTCGCCACGGTTCGCCACCGTGGCGAGCCGTTCGCGGAAAGTTCGCGAATGGTTCGTGACATCACTAGCCATGATATGTCTCGTTGTTTTGTATTACTATCAAGCTTTCCTTAATAATATTAGGGTTAGATGATAATTCATGTATATCCTGCTTTCCTCTGAAGGGCATATTGTAAGAAACCTTCTGGTTGTGTCAGGATAGATTTTCCACTTTGGTTCTTACTACATTAGAGAAAGTTTGTACTGCAGGACTATAGT